AGGTGGGCCCTATAAGGGTTTAGTATCTGACCCCTGAGCCTCTAGAACCTAAGGGGTCCCTAGAGGGGTCTGACAGATTTTTTTATTCAGATTTTAAAAATTAAAAAAAGAATTTCTTGATAAAAAAATTGATTGATTAATTTTTCTGTCGTGGTCCCTGAAGGGGTACCTTCGAGAACCTCCATAGTTGGCCCTATAGGGACCCCTCAGGCGTTAAGATTTCTACCAAAAACCTTGACTCATCATTTTTCTTTTTTTTAAAGTTAGAAGTCATCCTTAATCCGGTTTTTAGTCTTTTTAGTGATTTTTCCTTCATTTTTTGCATAGAACTATTAATTTAAAAGATTTTTTTCTGATTAAACTAAAATTTAAGCTTTATCTGTTTTTTTGATGTCTAGAGACCTTTTTTTAATTTTTTTGCTTTTAACTTGAAAAAAGCCTCGACCCTTCATTTAAAAAAAAAAATCGACAAATGGCCGATTCTAACGGTTTTTGATAGTTTTACCTAATTTGATGGTTCGAAAAAATTTTTTTTCAGGGGTTAGACTTGTCGAAAATGCCTCTGGAACCCCGACGAAAGTTCTAGAAGTTTCTGAAGTTCCCAGTCAAGTAGTCCCCTCGTTAGTGACTTTTCGCCGAGTTTCCACGCAACTTGATCTTTGAGTTTTTCAAGTTTTTGCCCCTAATTTTCATGTCCATTTAAAAAAAACCTTTTTAGAATTGCATTGAACTTGAAATAAAAAAAGATCAAAACTATTATTCATCAGTTCATAAAGAAAAAAATCATCATGATCTGGGAAAAAAACTTGTAAAAAAATCCAAATTTCCAAAAATTTTTTTCAAATAATTCATTTGCCAAGATTCAAAAAAAGATACCCAGTTATCAAATAAAACGCCTCAGGAAAAAAATGCCGAAATTTCGAGAAAAAAAGAAGCTTTTTCAACTACTTATAAACTCGAAGAAAATTCATTATTTTCTATTCAAAAAAATTCATAGATTTTTTTATAAATTTTTAGAGAAAAATTTCGGTTTTTTTCGTGAAGAAGAGGTTTACAAGCGATTTCTAAACCCTTTAAAAATTGATTTAAAAAAACCTGAGAAAGCAGAAATAGTTCCTAATAAAAACCGAGAAAAATTCAATTTATCAACAAAAATTTCGCTGTAAAAAAACTTTTTTTCTCAATTTTTTTCCCCTAATTTTATTTAAATGTTACAGTCCAGCTACCCATTCATCAGTTTAAAAATTGAAAAATCGAAAAAAAAATTGGTTTCTACTTAGAAAACTGAAAAAAAGTCCAATTTTCCTCATTTATCGATTAAAACTTATTAGGTTATGCCAAAAATGTCAAGAAATTTCATTAAATAAAACCTATTTTCCTATATAATTCCACTGAAACTTACCTAAAATTAACAGGTCAGTTAAACATTAACATAATTTACAAGTCTCATAGAGAAAAAAAGCTCTAAGGAACACCAGAGTGGTCCCTATGGGGGGATGTTAAGAGATTCTAGAGGAAAACCTTCAAGTCCTCAGGGTCGCCCCTAGAGGGACCACTCTGTCGTCCTAAATATTGTAAAATAGAAAACCCACCTCATTTTGTCCATCCAGAAAGCTTCTTCCTTCGATTCTCGTGGATGTTTTTCCCATTTCGCAACATTTTTCTTTCCATTCTTCCCATTTTCCCTATAAAATTATGATTCAAACATGTTTTGATTGTTTTAAACCTTTAAAAGAAAGAAATAAGAAGGCCTGACCATCTTCTGTCATCTGAAAAAGAAACTTCCTTCAAACGTCAAAAAAAAAAAAAAATTCTAGAGTATGCAATTATGCGTCTCTGTGTTTACACCCTAAACACCATAAATGACGCGAAATTTTGCCACATCATTTTTAAGAGTGATCCCTAAAGGGTAGCCTTAAAGGCATTCGAAGATCTCCCTCTAGGGGCCACTTTGGCATTCTTCCAGTCCTTTTTACGTATCTTTTTTTATCCAAAAAAAAAATCCGTTCTCAGGTCTCAAAACGAAAGGCATGAAAAGTCTGTTCTTACGGTAGTTTCTCCTAGTTTTTATTCTCAGAAAACTTGATAAGCTTTTGCAGAAAACACTATGAAAATGACCGTAAATGTTCAAAAATCCCTAATTTTTTTATTGATAAACTGAAAAAAATTCCTTTTTTTAAGTAAAAATAATTGAAACTTCAGACCTTATAACTTCTTTATTGTGCCAAAAAATTTTTCTATAAGAAATTCTAATTTTAGAGCTTATTGTGAACGAAATACACCATCAAAAAAATCGCTGACCCATTTTTTTTTTTGAATAGTTCTCGAAACAGAGATCTCAAAAAACTCCAGTTTACTTTGCAAGCTTCGAATAATTTTTTCTCAATAATTTTTTTTTTCCAAACATTTTCTTGCACTTTTTTCTGTATAAGAATCCATTTTTGCTTTTTCTACGTGTAATTATGATTCTCTTTACATAGAAAGAGAATCTATAGCTTACTTCTAGATTTCCCAAGAAAGCATGACTCATCTGAAACTTTTCACTCTCTCAAGACTAAGTTCTTTGTTCTCAGATTTCCGTGTTTTCGAAATTTCCTTGGAAAAATTTGAACATACATCAATTTCTCATGTACTTTCTAACTCTTGAAATCCTTTTAAATTTCCATTTAGCCTAAATTTTCGTGTTTTCTAGAGAATCCTTTGGAGTATGCAATTGTGCGTCACGTACACCAAAAACATCATAAATGACGCGAAAATGTCGTCAGACCAGAATTAAACTGATTTTACTGTCTGGATACTTTTTTTTTATTTTTTCGGTTTGTGATGAAGTTTTTATGATTTGTGGTAAGTTTTTCGTTATTTTGATTTCTGATAATATTTTTCTCAATCAAATTTATCCTCATTATCCCAGTGGGTGTCAAAATTTCATAAAAATTCCTTACTCACTGAAAAATTTGAACAGCTTGTTCCGCAATTCTGTTTCACTTATTTGATTTACTTGAACCTTTTTTTTCAAGTAATTGACGCTTTCTGGCGTTCGGATAAGGTGTGGAAACTTTTTTGGATGTAGTTTCTCAGGTTTTTTTTGTTTGCAATGAAATGAATTGTCTCAAACATCTGTTCCACATTAAATAAAAAGCTCATTAACTTGAAACTTGCTTAGAAATCTTTCTTCTTTTTCTTAAAAATATTCGAAAAATTGATAAAAAGAAGCTTTGAAATTTTTTTCAAGTGTAAAAATCGGTCCATAAATTTCAAGAAGTTTTTCCAATTTGAGCTTAAAAATCGATTTTTTTCAGCGGCTATGTCACTTTTTTTCTGCTCGTTTACCTATTTTTTTCTCAAAAAAATAAGCCGAAAAATCTTGTTTTATTGAACTTTCAGCAGGTTTAAACTTCTCTAGAGCTCCCTAGGTTTTTTTCCGAGCCGTCCAGAACCCAAAAAGGAGAATAAGTTGAAAATTGAATGCAAAACCAATCTCTAAAAAAAATTTTTTTTCCAATCAGAGATTAAAAATCAATTTTTTTCAGCGTCTATGTCCCATTTTTGCACTTTTTTTCCTATTTTTTTCTCAAAAAAATAAGCCGAAAAACCTTGTTTTATTGAACTGTCAGCATGTTTAAACTTCTCTAGAGCTCCCTAGGTTTTTTTCAGAACCGTCCAGAACCCAAAAAAATTGGAGCAAAATTTAAAAATTGAATGAAAAAAATCGATCTTTAAAAGAAAAAAATTTTTTTCTTCCAATTTGAGATTAAAATCGATTTTTTTCAGCGGCTGTCTTCAGATGTCATTTTTTTCTGCACTTATACCTATTTTTTTTCTCAAAATTAAGCCCAAAAAAACATGTTTTAATGAACTTCTAACATGTTTATACCCCTCTAAAACTCCCTAGAAATCATTAAATATTCCTCAGAGCCATCCAGAACCCGAAAAGTTGAGAATAAATTAATTTTGCAGCGTCCGTTTGATGGCTCAAAATGACTCATTTTTATTTTGAATTCGTGTTTTTTGGTTCTTTTCGTGTTATTTCGATACCTTATTTTCAATTTTCAGAAACTACTAGAACCAGTGCAAATGACAACGCTACAAGTTTATACAAAAGGTGAGGTTATTTTCGAAAAACAACACAGTTTAATGCGTTTTTAATGCAATTTTATCTCTTCAGAGTTATTTTTTTCGATTTTTTTGTGCTTTCAACGCGAAAGTCGTTTTGGGTCGGGCGCGCTCTAAAAATATGGCCATTCGTTCAAAAAAAAAACCATCGTTAAAGCTACAGAATGGAAAACAGGGATTATTGTCAAAAATTATCATTTCTGGACAAAATCGAGGGCTCAATGAGTCAAAAAAAAAATCTATGGCCGCATTTGGAATGGCTCAAGCGTTGCGGTAACGCTGCCTCATGAAACTGCATATTTAATTTACCCAATTTCAAGTATTTTTTTCTTGTATTTCGTCAGAAACTAAAACAAAAACGACTTTTTTTCAAAGGTTTTCCATGCTTTCGCTAACCTTTGAGCCATTATTTCCCAAAAAATCTTTTTTTAAATTTAAACTTCTGGCTTCTAATAACATCTGGGAGACCCATTTTTTTGAATTTTATGCTTCAACGCGAAAGTCGTTTTAGGTCGGGCGCACTCCAAAAACATTGGTTTTCAAATCAAGACAAGGCTGAATGATGAAAGATAGAAATAAATGTCAAAAAATGATCTTTTCTGGACAAAATCAAAGCCTCAAAAAAGTCAAAAAAAAAATAATTCTATGGCCGCATTTGGAATGGCTCCAGCGTTGCGGTAGTGCTGCTTCCTCTATTTGAAGATTTAACTCACACAATTTCAAGTATTTTTCTTGAATTTCAAGTAGGAAACTAAAAAAAATGATTTTTCAAGGATTTTCTATGCTTTCGCTATTCATAGAGCCATTTTTTTCACCCAAAAAATCTTCTTTTTTTGTTAAATTTCATGCATCTAATTTCATCTCTTCATAGAATTGTTTTGGTTTTAATGCTTCATCGCGAAAGTCGTTTAGGGTCGGGCGCACATTGGTTTTTAATTCAAGACAAGGGTGAATAATGAAAAAAGAGATAAATGTCAAAAATGACCGTTTCTAGACAAAATCTAGGCCTCAGATAAGACAAAAAAATTCTATGGCCGCATTTGGAATGGCTTAAGCGTTCGGTAACGCTGCTTCACGTAGTCAGAAGTTCATTCTACAAAAAAAAATTTTTTTAAAAATTTCGAAGTCTTTCCATTCGACATTGAGCCATTCCAAAAGCGACCATTTTTCAAAAATGTATTCCAGGCCTCTACTTCCATCTGCCCGACTACGGCCAACTCTGGCTCCCACTTTTCCTGTTCAAACAAGGCGAAGATGCTTCCTACACCATTTTCCGGTCATTCGAAGTCATTTTCCTGGTCATTTCCTTCCTTCTAACGGTTGGGAACAATCAATTAAAATTTTTGATTTGTTATCTTTTCAGATATCTAGTGGAATCGTTGCCGTAAAGTACAATTACTGGCATCGGAATATGATCACGATTTACGCTTCTTTCCTGTTTCAGTGGTTCGAACTGTTCTTCTCCCATCTTTTGATCACTCCTTATCAGGAGGGATGGATTCCCTTGAGTAGTGAGTTTTTTTCAGTTTCTGGTCGCATTTTGGAATGGCTTGGCAGCATCCCCTCACGCTTTTTGATGCCGATATGCGCAAGTAGTTTTAGGTCGGGCGAGAATGAAAGCGCCCCTTTGAGCCATTTCAAATACGATCAATGGCTTTTGAAATGGCTTGGAAGCTTTAAAAAAGTGCTTTTGATGCCAATACGCGAAAGTAGTTTTAGGTCGGGCGACGCTTTGAGCCATTTTAAATGCGACCAATTTCGAGTCAGAGAAATTGAGTAGATATATAGGATGGAATCTTTTGAATACTGAGCTTTTTTGAAAATCTTATTGGTCGCATTTGGAATGGCTTTTGAGCTTCCTTTAACGCTTTTCGCTGTAAATGCGCGGAAGTAGTTTTAGGTCGGGCGCAAATGGAAACGGCGATTTGAGCCATTTCAAATGCGACCAAGGGCTTTTGAGTCCGAAAAAATGCTTTATATGAAGCTTTAACAGAAAAAAAGCCCAAAAAATGAAGATTTGCTAAAAAATTTTGGTATTTTCAAGCCTTATTTTTTCGTAAAATATCCGATTCCCATGTCCTTTCGTCCATTCTAAACAGAAAAAAATACGTTCAAAGAAACCAAAATACTATTTTAAGAGAGAAAGTCTGTCCTTGCAGAACTTTTCTTGGGAAAAATGTTATTACGACGATGAAATTTGTAGTTTTTGAGAAAAAAATTCCAAGTCCAAAGTTTTTTTGGCCTCACGTACTGATTAAACTTCTCACGGGGGAAAACACGCCTTTTGAAAATTTTGATTTGAAGAAATCTTGACAAAAAACTTTGATAAAAGCTTCTGATCTCTGAAAAAAATTAATGGCTCAAATTTTTAAAAATTTTTTTGAAATTCTGACCTGATTTTTTTCACGTTTTTTTGTCACTTTTTCTCATGAAGAAAGACAATTTTTGCATTATTTCAAGCCAAAAATTAGGATCCAAAGTCCAAAGGATCACAGAGAGCACCTTATAAGGGCGTCAGAGAATAAGCTGATCCCAGAATCATTTTTTCTTTTTTTTTTCTGCCCTCATTTGGGAAAATCTCACTGATAACATCAAACATCCAGCACTACAAAAGCTTGGAAAAATCAGAGGGAACAAAAATTAAAAGAAAAAAAAACCATAAGAACGAGAAAAATCTTCTGAAAGATCTAAAATATGTTTCAGGGTGAATTTTCATCGTTATTTGAAGATTTTTTGCATTTTAAAGATTTTTTTATTTTTCTAACAATGCTTTCGGTTCTGCCTATGTGATGAAAAATCAAACTCCCGAACAAAAAAATAATACTTCTCATAAAAAAATTCGATGGCTCAGAGGCTTTTTATAACGATAATTCTTCAACTTTTCAATATTGGAAATATTTTTTTAATAAAAAAACGTTTTCAAAACTTCTGAAAAAAATATGATCTAGCCGATATACTTTGATTGAGGTTCAAAAAAAAGGTTCTGACCCGAAATTAAGCCAAAAAAACAAAACAAAAAAAAATTTTTTTTCAATTTTCAGAGCATGAAAAATTTTAAATTTGCTTCAAAAAAAGGGCAGAAATTTCAAAATTCAAGATAAAAACATAAAGCTTGATTTTTGCCTATAAAATCGATCTAGAAGATAAAAGGCCCCTTAAGTGGTCACTCAGGCTCGAATTTGATCTCCAGCCCTCTAGGGACTACTTCAACTCCCTCTCAAAATTAATATTTCACCCCACAGTAGATGAAACGTCCCTTAAGTGGTCACTCCAGCTCAAATTTGATATCTAATCCTTTAAGGATCCCTTCAACTTTATCATTCTCCCATTTTCTCTCACTATAGAAGATAAAACGTCCCTCAAGTGGTCACTCTGGCTCAAATTTGATCAACAACCCTTTAGAGCCCACTTCAACTTTATCATTCTCCCATTTTCTCTCACTATAGAAGATGAAACTTCCCTCAAGTGGTCCCTCTAGCGAAAATGTTGTCTCCAACCCTATAGGGACCACTTCAGCTCCATTTTACTCGTTTCAGACCTCAAAATGGTATCGACAACGCCGGAAAACGTGCCAATCTACCTGTTTGACGACATTTTGTACATGCCTCTCTTGGTTGGAGGCTTCCTACGGTTTCGTTATTTCGTTCTGACTTCCTGGGTCATGCCGGCAATGGTTGTCGAACGTGGCATCGCGACTTATTTTGTTAGGTAGGTCATTCACCTTCAAGTTATCAGTCTTTAAACCGGATCAAAATCAACTTGAACCGAAAAAAAAAATCAAAAAATCAAAAAAACTCTCTCGACTTGACATCGCGGTTTCAAGATTTGCACATTATTGAAAGTCAGCTCTTTTCTGTTATTGTTTCCCAAATGGCAGGATCTCTATACTATATGAATGATGAAATGTTAAAATTCGACAATGTGGTCGCATCGGGAATGGCTCAGACTACGAAGCGGTCACTTCAAGTTGCACCCGACCGAAACCGACTTTCGCTCTGAAAATTTTGCATTTCTAACTCAATCTGCATATTGAGCCATTCCACATGCGACCAGGAGATTTTAGCTCGAGGAAAAGTATCGCTTTATAAAACAAGTTTAGCTTGAAATACAGCTTATAAAACGGAAAACTAACGAAGTTCGTTCATTATTCGAGCTTCTGAAGCTGAAAAAAAATCCTGGATCATCCATTTTTGATGCATTTTCAAGTGATCTCAAGTCTTTCATAGCGAATTTCGACATCAATAAATTTAAAATAAATGGACTATGAAAGAAAAAATCTTCCTTTTTCAGTTATTACGACAAAAATCAATAATTTTCAAGACTTTTTGGGCAAGTTTTGGAATGGATAAGTTCAAAATTAATCGACTATGAAGGATAAAAACTTCATTTTTCAGTGACTAGGAGAGAAATCAAGCTATCCCAAAAATTATGTAACAATTTTTAAAATCGATAGGCTCAAAATAATTAGAAGATTTGGGAAAATTTTCAGTGGCCCCTATAGAGGCTCGACAAGGACTATTTGAAGAGGACACTAAAGTGGTCGCTAAACCAACCTCTATAGTGGCCGCTTTTTTCCGTTTTAGTGGCCACTTGAGTATTTTTTCATCCAGTATTCCTTCCAGGAACTCTGATAATTAAAAAAAAACAGATTGGACCAGTTATGTCGATCCATTGACCCCTAAAGTGGCCACTTAGTGGTCTAGTAGAAGCACTCAGACCTCTATAGTGGCCAAAATTTGACTACTATAGTGACCACTAAAACGTCAAAACCCTATAGTGTCCACTAAATCGTCAAAACCCTATAGTGGCCACTAATTTTACCCCTTGAGGGGAAACTAATTTGACTACTATAGTGGCCACTAAAACGTCAAAACCCTTTAGTGGCCACTGAAAAGTTTCCCAGAACCTGGAATGGCAGATATTTCTCTGCGCTCTCTTACTCTCTCACGTTCACGTGCTATTTTCACGTTTCTCTGACCTCGCCGGCGAGAGAACAGAGGGCGCAGACAGACCAGAAGCCTCGAATAACTATACAAACGAAATAAATATGATTTTTCAGTGACTACGAGAGAAACACCCGGCCGTACATATCCATAATCGCCGTGATTATCAGTCAAATCGTTTCTACGGTTCTCGTGATACTCATGGCCAATACTGTGATCACCTACACCGTCGCTGTTTCTATATACTTTGGTTTCGGTCTTTTTGGTCTTACGGTGGGTTTTGAGTTTTAAAAAAAGCTAGCCTTTCCTGAAAAAAATTCTTTCTGGAAAAAATAAGCGTTTATTTCGAACTTACTCTTCAAAACTTCAGTACTTAAAAAAATTCTGAAAAAATTTTATTTCTTTTTTGAGTCTACTGTATCCTACTAACTTGTAGGATTCACCGAAAAATAATTATCGGTACTCAGGAAAAAAAAATCCGCAAAAAATGAAGTAAATCGAGAAAAAGGTTGGCACACCTCTAAAAAAAAAGCTGAAAAAAATCGAAAAAAAATTCCCGTCCTGCAAAATTTAACGTATAAGCTGACATTTGAGCTTCATTTTTAAAAAATATAGTTCTCAAAAAAAAATCGTAAAAAATGGAAAAGTTTATAGGATCTCTTGTAGACCTTTTCAATTTTCATTGGATCCTAATAATCCTTTCGAACTGAGAAAATTTTTAGTGGCCACTATAGTAGTCAAATTGATGGCCACTTAAGGGGTAAAAAATTAATGGCCGCTATAGAGGTCTAAATGCTACTACTAGACCACTAAACATTTTAGCGGCCACTTAAGGGGTCAATGGATCAACATAACTGGTCCAATCTGTTTTTTTTTAAAATTATCAGAGTTACTGGAAGGATTACTGGATGGAAAACTACTAAAGTGGCCACTAATTCAGGAAATAGTGGCCACTATAGAGGTGTGTTTAGTGGCCACTTTAGTGTCCTCTCCACGTATTCCTTGGCGAGCCTCTATAGTGGCCACTAAACATCCTCGGCTTTTCATTTCTTCAATAAAAAAAGAAAAATAATTTTTCCAGCTGTTCGTCTACCTCGTTTTCCGAAATCATCACCTTCTGAATCGCTTGAACAACAGCAAAAGTTACATGTCGCTCTATACGCTTTCTTTGAAGTATCAAATCGTCGAGAATATTCGTGTTTTAATTGTGAGTTTTTTTCTTGAGTTTGAAAAATTTTTTTTTGAAATTGGGTGCAAAAATCCTTCAACATTCCTCGAAAAAGGGAAATTTTTTTCAATCCGAGAAATTTTTTTGAAAAATCGGCCAGTATGCTTCTTGATATATCAAATGGAGATTCTGAAAGTTTCAGCTTGCTAAAAATTCCCATTTTTCGGAAAAATAAAGGGTCAAATTTTTGAAAAAAATGGCTGATTTTTTTGCGATTTTTTTAAGGATTTTTTTAATAAATTTTGAAAAATTTCTACAGGGAATGACTTTTTTTGTAACCTCTTTCTGTTTGATTTTTCTTCATTACTACTCAAAAAAACAGATTTCGAATGAAATCACCTTCCCAGAGGGTCAAACTTTCATGTGAAAAACTTTCAAGTTCTTGTTTTTTTGAAAAAATTCCATTTCTCGACTTTTTTTCCACAGAACTTCCAATTTTCACAGCGAAAAATACTTCTTTGAAGAAAAAAACTATAAAGAAAGACAGAAAAAAATTAATTTTTTTCAGGCCATAAAAGTGATCATATTCGCTGTTGGATTCGCCATGTTCGGACTGTCCGGCGCGTTTTTTTCCTCGCCGGACTCGGCTGTTTGTCGAGTTCAGCTACACTTTTCGTTCATTTGGCCGTCGATTTCTATCTTCATTGGTTTGTTTTTCGACTTTTTCTTTTTTGATGACTTGAAAAAAAAAAAAAAGCTCAGAACATGAAAAACTTCCAAAGTCTGAAAAATTCCAACTTTCTTGGTAGGTTATTAAAACCTCCTTTCTTTTATCATTTATAAAAAAAGAAGATCTCAAAAAAATGGGAAAAAAATTAATATATTGAGTTTTAATTTCTTTCAATTTGAAGACAACCTCAAAATTGGATAAAACAAACCTTTCAAATCCAAAAATTTTCCGGTTAGCTTTAAAAAAATAATATTTCTTTTTAATCTCAAATAAATTGAAAGAGAGATCTCAAAAATCAAAAACAATCTTTCCAATGATCACTCTTACTGGGAAATTTTGAAAATAAATGCATGTATTTTAAAAATCCGCTAGTGCTTCAATTTTTCGATTTGTGATTTCTAAAAATGAACAATTTGTCAATCTTTAAGCTCCTTTTCAGTTAAAGATGTTTTTTGAAATCATTTATTTCTTCAAAATCCATTATTAAAACCCTATTAAAATACCCCCAAAAAAAACTCTCAAACTTCTGTTTCTCATGAATATCTCACGAAAAAAGTCACAATGTAAATAAAATATATATTTCCAACCTCTAATTTGAGATCAAAAAATAGAAAAAAAACTCGGGAGAAACTTTAATCTTCAATCTCCTAATACATACTTGTTTCAAACTCAAAAAGAGCTAAAATTAAAATTTTCTTTCTTCTTAAAAATGTAATTGTTAGTTATCTTGTTTCGACTTATGATCCTCATCGAAAAAAAAAAAATCGAAAAATGCCTTTTCTTCATTTTGGAAAAAAAAAAGTTTCACCTTAAAACGAGTCAAATGGTAAAAAAAGAAAAATCGAAATCGGAAAAAAAAAATGATTCGCACGATTGAATCTTGATAATAAATGACTGAAATCCTATTTTCAATCCCAAAATTTTGACAACCTCATTTTAATGTTTCATCAAATTTTTGAATTTTCCTCTACTTTTCAAAATAATTCCAAACGCTCCAACTGGCCGTTACGAGGGAGGTCATTTAACTTTGCGGTTGGGAATTTCCTGAAAATTGGCCAGAACATTTTTTGATGTACCAGAAGAAGATTCTGAAAGTTTCAACCTGCACAACTTCCTCGTTATTGAGAAATGAGGGCTCAAAGCCTTAAAACAGCCCATTTTAGTGGGTTTTGAGGGTTTTCTTTGACTTAGAGACTTCTTTTCTCAATAACGAGGAAGTTGTGCAGGTCGAGATTTTCAGAATCGTCTTCTGGTACATCAAAAAATGTTCTGGCCAATTTTCAGGAAATTCCCAACCGTAAAGTTAAATGACCTTCCATGAAACGGTCAGTTCGAGCGTTAGGAATTATTTTTGAAAAAGTAGAGGAAAAATTTAAAAAAACTTGATGAAACATTAAAAATCAGATTGTCTAAATTTTTTTGGATTGATAATAGGATTTAGTCATTTATTATCAAGATTCATTCGTGCGAATCATTTTATTTTGAAAAATCCGATTTTGATTTTTTACCATTTTTTCAATCCATTTCTCTTGAAAAATCTACCGATTCTAGGTATAGAAAAATCAGCTAGAAAAAAAGCTCGATTTTCGCAATAATTTTTAAGGAAATTCTGAACCTCTTTGTAAACTTTTTGATCATCAAAACGATTTTTTTGACGCTGAGCTCAAAAAAATTAGCAATAAAAGCTCGAGTTTTGAACCATTTCTTTGAAAAAAATCTAAAAAAATTTAAAAAAATTCTTTTTGAGAACCGTTCTGTATAAAAATTTTTTTCAATGAGCACAAAAAAATTTGCGTTAATCCTAAATGTAAATTCCTATAAATATCTTAGGGACCTACAAAAAAAGAGTGTAAAAAAATCGCTCAATCATGAAGAAAAAAATGACAGAATTTTTGAAAAAGCCCTTTTTTTAAAACCAGAAATCCAGGTTTTTTTGTAAGTTTCAAATTAATTCAAACTCAAGTTTCAAACAGCTTTTTTTCTATTAAGTAATGGCAAAAAAATTTACTGATCCTAGATTGAAAAAAACTCAGAAAAAAAGCTCAATTTTCGCAATATTTCTTGAAAAAAATATAAACTAGCGACTGTAAGGTCCACTTCCCCCTATGCTTGAGAAAAAAAGATCCCTCTGAACATTTTTTTCCACGGTTCTTGCCACCCCCTGCTCGAAGAAAAAAAGATCCCCTGAACATTTTTCACAGTTTTTTTGTCAACCCCCTCTGCTCGGAGAAAAAAAGATCCCCCTGAACATTTTTTTCACAGTTTTTTTGTCAACCCCCTGCTGGAAGAAAAAAAGATCCCTCTGAACATTTTTTTCCACAGTTCTTGTCCACCCCCCCTGCTCGAAGAAAAAAAGATCCCCCTGAACATTTTTTCACGGTTTTTTTGCCAATCCCCCCTCCCTACATTTCCCATTTTTTGCCAACCTCCCTTTCCAGGTCCCACCGAGACTATCCCATCTATGTCCAAAACTTAGAAAAAAAAGAATAATTTCCAGAATAAAAAATGAAAATCACCATTTTGTAGTCATCCGGTGGTGATGCTGACGATCTGCATCTGGCTGACGCCGAAATGGCGTCGGATCTTCTCGAAAGTGCTTCCGAAGCCCGTGCAACGATGTCTTTGCCATAATCGGCTTGACGTGACGACGCCGCCGCGGCTCACGAATCTCCAAACGACGGACATGTACTTTAAGAATCTCGAGAAGATGTGGTGATTTATCATAGAATTACATGACAAACGAGCCGCTATGTATTAAATCCATGTATAATTGTTTAGTCTATAGAGAAATAATTTTTCATTGGTGAAAGAAAAGTGTGTAGAAGTCGAACGTCCTTCCTAAAGACTAGTGCATTCCACGCGAAACGGTCACGTTTTAAAAAAACGCCGAGAAAGCTACCGTAAAACATTTTTTTTTCTCTGCAAAACTGCTAAAAAAGACTAAGGTCTTGAAGCGAAAATGGACTTATTTGATCTAATTTGGTATACGGTCTTTTTGGCGGACAGACAAGCTGACGCGGAATGGACTATAACAAGGGAGTTCATTTTACTTCTTGGTTGCGAACTCTCTCAAAATTGGCCGGAATACTCCTTGATGTACTAAATGCAGAATCTGAAAGTATCAACCCACAAAACTTTCTAGTTTCCGAAAAATGAAGCCTAAAAATGACCTATTTTATATGATTTTGAGTTTTTTCAACTTTGAGGTGCCCTTACTCGAAAACTAATAATCTTCACAGGTTGAGGCTATCAGAATCTTCTTCTGGTACATCCAGGAGCATTCTGGCCAATTTTCAGGAAATTCCCAACCGGCAAAGAAAAATGACCTCCCGTGTAAGTCTTCGGTTCGACTTCTGAATTTTTTTTTGAACTTTTAAATATTTTTTTTTCCAAAAGGCTCTATTGTCATACATACTAAAATGTACTAGAAAATTAATATTGAAGGTTTTTAACCAAATCAAAAGGGAGATAATTTTACCTGTAGCTTCAGGATTTAACAAGCGTTCAAAAATTCACAATTAAGTGAAAAGAAAAAATTGAAGAACCGTTAAAAATTGAGCGAGAAATGACAAAAAAGGAAAAATCAAATAAAAATGATGACCAGTGCAGAGAAAGGAGGACAAACATTGACCTACGGCCAGGGGTAGATCAAAAATTTATAGTTTTTTTCAAAGGGATGAGATTTTTTTTTGTTGTTTTTTGAGGTTTGAAAATTCAGATAAATCTTTTTTTCTGATATTTGGATCAATTCTCAGATAAAGATTCTGAAATTCTGAATCTTCAAAATTTTTTAAAAAAGTGCCCTCGCGCCATTTTCGGCTTGAATATTTCAAAGTGAGTCTGTTTTTCGAGAGATATCGAATTCTCAAAAATTCAGCCTTCTAAATCAAGTTAATGTATTACAGATTTACCTAAAAAAATTTTTCCTAGAAAAATTCTGAAATTTCAGGTAAAATTATCTCCCTGTTGAGTAATCATAAGTTTTCGTTGTTTTTTTGTTCTTTTTCTTGTAATTTTTGTTCTTTCTGTTTTTTTTTGCATATCATTAACCAAAAGATGTTGTATTGTATAAACCGGACCAGATCCCAAAAAATTCTCTGCTGATAAGATGTTTACCACCGTAAGGATCCGAACCCTGGTTCCTAGTTTATCAAGCAAACACTCTAACCACTGCACCACTTGTTCTTATTGTTTCGGGACCTTTCAAGGTGCCTCTAGCTCATCTCAAAAAAATCTCAGTTACTGTATTTTTCTTTTCAAGACCCTCTTTTTTGGAAATTCATTGATGGTCTCAGTTTTGTGATATAATTTGTTTTTATGTTATTATTTATTTATTTTTGTTGAATATTTTAAGAAAAATTGAAAAAAACTTTATTAAAAAATTATTTATCCCCGAAAGGATCAGAACCATGGTCCCTAGTTTATCAAGCAAACACTCTAACCACTGAACTACCCGTTCTTATTGTTTTGGGACCATTCAAGGTACATCTAGCTCATCTCAAAAAAAATCTCAGTTACTGTATTTTTCGCTGTAGGACCTTATTCCTTTTGGAAATTCATTGATGATCTCAATTTTGTGATATAATTTGTTTTTATGTTACTATTTATTCATTTTTGTTGAATCTTTTTCAGAAAAATCGAAAAAAAAAAAATTTATCCCCGAAAGGATCCGAACCCTGGTCCCTAATTTATCAGGCAGACACCTTAACCACTGCACCAATGTTTCGGGACCTTTTAAGACACCTCTAGCTTCTCCCAAAAAATCTCAGATACTGTATTTTTCGCTTCAAGACCCTATCTCATTGGAAAATTCCTTGATGATCTCAATTTTGTGATATAATTTGTTTTCATGTGTTGTTATTTATATAACTTTTTAAGAAAAACCCCCAATTTTCCATTTTATTTTCTTTGTGACGCTGGAAACAAGTTCTTTGTGATATTTGCGGAATTATTTATTCTCAGAAATTTTGAATTTCAAGAAAAAATTCCGTCATACCATATCACCTCTTCACCAATCAATTAAATTTAAAAAAACCTTATAATTTTTCATTTTTTTCAACCTGTTATTATGAATCCCATGGGAACCTTCCTTCTCAAACTTCATTTTAAATTCCTCTGCCAAGATTTGAAACACTCTGACTTTCCTCAAAATCTCATTTTTCTTCCAGTAGGTGAGAGAAAAGAGAGCGCAGACAGGTCAGACTGTTTCAAGTCGGGGTGAATGGAATATTGTTCATATTTCTCGATTTTTTTGTTTTTCGATTGGAATATTGCTCATATTTTTTGCATATTTTTGTTTTTAGTTCATTACAAAGTCATTGTTGCGCGAAATCGCGTTTCCTTGTTCATTTATTTGTTCCAAAATGTCATGTTTTTCCATCAAAATATCATCTATGACTCATTAAACTGACTTTTTTTTTTTTTTGTTGAATAAATGTGCTAAATGAACTTAGTGACAGGTGTTTTCAGAACTTCGATCACACAAATCACTAAAATAATTTTTAGCCATTCCAAGTGCGGCCATGGCAACCTTGAAAAATGACGAAAACTGAAGAAAAAGGGGTTTTTGATTTTAAAAATGAGCGTGAAAATCGGGAAAAGTTTGAAAAAAAATGGGAAAATCGAAGCCGCACGCGTCGCGTTGATCCATTCCGAATGCGGCCAAAAATTTGAACTAAAAATTAAAAATCTACGCAAAACAGCCAGAAATCTGAATGATTCCCAGGTTCGATAAAAAAACGTTTCAAATTTTTTTTATCAATTCAAAAATAACCGCGACGCGACCGCACCGCCTAAGCCATTCCCGAAATTTCACCATTTTTTTCCAATTTTCCCCCTTTTTTTTTGAAAAAATTTGTAGGTTCTAAAAGCTTTTATTAATTGTGAGGTTTTTTTTATTTCTCAAAAAAATGTAAGAAAAGGGTTCCTATGTATGAAAATGAGAAAAATTCATTAAAAATTCAAAAAAAGTGAAAAATCCATTCCAAATGCGGCCAAGAGCTTCACCTCAAAAACCGAGAAATCTACATAATTCTTATAGCCAATAATCTGAATGCATCATATGTTCCGTAAGTAAATTTTGGAATTTCTTATCAAACTAACCGCAACGCGACCGCGTCGCCTAAGCCATTCCCTAAATTTCACCATTTTTCCAATTTTCCCCCTTTTTTAAGAGGATTTGTAGCTTCCAAGAGCTTTTTTTTAATTAAAAAGAATTTTTTTGAGACCTTAAAAAAATCTATAAAAAAATGTTCCTGCTAATGAAAAACGAGAAGAATTTAGCAAAAAAAGTTCAAAAAAATAGAAAAAAATCCATTCCAAATGCGGCCAAGATTTTCACCTCAAAAACCAAGAAATTTAAATAACACTTATAGCTGATAATCTGAAGAGTTCACATACTCCTTAAAACGATTTTTGAATTTCTTTGAGCCGCAACGCGACCGCGTCGCTTGAGCCGTTTCCTCAAGTTTGACCGGCTTTTTTCGTTTTTCCTCGTCCTAACCTCAAAATTCATTTGTTCTTTTGAATTTACAATGTTTTCAAGTTTCTAAACGCATTATAGTAGACGCAAGCAAAAAATTTGTCATACAGGTGAAAAAAAACGTTAATAAATTCGGGAAGCACCTGTCCGAATTTGACATTTTCCTTCAAAGTTGCTTAGGTAGTTACACTACAAGCCTGTTTCTATTTATTTTTTTGATCAAACTGAAACATTATTCTCTTAGTTGTATCAGCTTCAAAAGTTTTTTGAAACTTTTAAAACTTGTATGATCCCCCTCGTCTCTCGACGACTCTCTCTTGTTGACGCGCTATTTTCACGTTTCTGTGACCTCGTCGGTGAGGGAACAGAGAGACGCAGACACGCGAAAACTGTCGCGGCGGAAACACTATAAAATCGTTGATGGAAAAATATTCTTTGTTGAAAACTATCATTTTCATCAATAATCCCAATTACTTCTCAGCACAAGTCGTTTCGGGTCTGGCGCGCTTCAGAAAACCGTTTTTCGAGCGTTCAATTCAATTCAATTCAATTCAATTCCTTCAGACATCAGAGAAATCAAAAAGGCTCTGCTGAATCATGGTAGATTTGAAGAGCTCCTTGTTGTTGCGCGCAACGGTCGACCAATTCTCCCCAAGAACGCTTCGGAAGTCATCTCGCCAACGTGCTCGTGGTCGTCCAACAGATCTTTTCTTCTCCCAAGGCCGCCATTCTACGATCTTCTTTGCCCACGTTTCTTCTCCCGTCACGAGTTTCTTTGCGAAGAACCATTTTCTTCTTGTTGCAACCATTCGAGCATCACGCATCTTTAACCTTTTGTGAAGCCAACTGTTTGGTCTTCTATCCATTAGAGTCACACCAAGCATTCTTCTCATCATCTTCCTCTGCGCTGTGGCTAGCATGTTCATCTCTGTTTTCTTGAGGGTCCAGACTTCTGATCCGTATAAGAGCGCAGGTTCTATACAAGCTTGATATATTTTGACTTTGTTCTTGAGAGGTGTTGTTTTCTTCGTCAGATAATATATTTCGAGCGTTCAGCCATTCCAAATGCGACCATAACGCAGAGTAAATTTCCCATATGAAATCTGTGTTTTTAAACTTTCCCGAATCATTTTCCACCTCTTAACATTTTTTTCAATTATATTCTATAATTTTTTTCAATTTTCAGAAACCCTTATGAACCTCCGCGTCTATGCCAGCGGTAAGAAGATTATTTATTGATATAAACGCGAAAAATGACACAAAATTCAGGTTCCTATGCCGTTTTGCCACAAATTGGGACGATTTGGCTACCAGTATTTGTGTACCGAGAAGACGAACCTTCGTGTGGTTACATTATTTTCAAAACTATTGAAACTTTTCTAATGGTGGTCTGCGCAGTTCTCGTGGTGAACATTTTGAAAGATATTATCAAAAAGTCGCAAAAAAAGGAATTTTTTCGAGTTTATCCGTAGAGCAAACTTTCACCAACACGTTCGAACTATTTTTTTTCCGCACTTTTTCCAAAAATTTTTTTAGTGTTTTTTTGTTTTTTTCTATTTAAGATAAATTTTTGAAAGATATAATTGAAAAAAATCGCAAAAAAATGAATTTTTTTCGATTTTATCCATAGAGCGAACTTTCCCCACAGTTTTTTTAAATCCATGTGTTTTTTTGCCTCTAAAAATATTTTTTTTGACGTTGATTTTGTTTTTCTTCTTTAGAATCTATGTAAATTACAAAAACCTTTATATTATTCCAATTTCAATAAAAACTCCTCCTTAATATCCGACAAAAAAATTCAGAAAAATTCATTTAAGTAGCACCTTTTTTTCACTGATTTTTTTCCAATAAAAAAACCGTCAAAACTGTTTTTTTTTACTTTTCAAATCAAAAATAAATATCTCAAAAAGCTTTTAAATATCCCAATCTTCATGGAATTGTTTTTTTGTGAGTGCGAAAAAAATTTAAAAAAATTCAACTTTTTGACACCTTTTTTTCCCTTGTTATCTTCTACATAAATCAGTACATTAAAAAAATTTTTTTTTGAGATTTACTTTTTTTGTTGATTTATTTTGAGAGGATCTGTAGAACTAAGCTTCTTCTCAAAAAAAAAAATCACAGTCAGGAGGCTCAACTTTCAGATAAAATCGAATTTTCCAACTGAAAAATGAAGAAAGGTGCAAAAAATCAATAATTTGCAGGCTTCTTGCGTTTTCATCGGTTTCAAGTACAAATCGTGGCATTTGAATACCAACACGCTGTACTTGATTTACATTGCCGAGTGGTTCGAATTCCTCATCGGCTGGATTTTGATCACGCCCTACAAGGAAGGCTGGATTCCCGTTTCTGGTTTGCTTTTTTTTCGTTATTATGCTTCTATTCATTCGGTGATTTCAAACAAAAAAAGTTCGAGCTAAACATTTTGAAAAAGAAAAAAAAATTTTTTTTTGAATCTTTGAAAAAAATGAAATTTTAAAAATCAAAATTTGAATTTCAAGCGTCTTTTTCTATGGTGGAAAGATCACCGAAAAGCGCAAGTCGTTTTTAAGTCGGGTTCATTTTTTGAAAAGCTCATCTCTGTGAGGTCACTTTACATATTTGAGTTTTTTTTATAACCGAATTCGATGAATTTCTTAAAAACCAGAATGTTTACAAATAGAAAAAAACTGGATAAATAATGAATTTTTTTCAAATAAAAACATAAATGTTATAAATAATCCTCAAGATATGTTTGAAACTAAAAAAAAAATTTTTTTTAATTTTTAATTTTTTTTAAATTTCCAATTTCTTGACCTTGTGCGCTCCACGGCTAATTTTCAAATTCTCATGAATAAACTTTGTTTTAAAAATTTTGGAAAGGTTAAATATAGCTTCTTCACGGCTAGTTTGACACGCTAAGGGGGGCGTGGCCTGTTTGCGCTCTCCACGAGCCAGGCACTATCTCATGCATTTTCGTGTCAGGACCCAATTTAGCCATGAATCAGCTCTAACCTAATTTTCCATTTTCAGAACTCCCAACAGTCTACCTGCCCGACTTCCAAACCTACGCGATAACTGTAGACGCGTTGCAACACGCGCCGCTTATCATTGGAGCATTTTTGCGCATGCGATACATGCTTCTGATTTGTTCGGCCCTACCGGCTGCTGTGTTGGAAAGGAGCTTCGCTACGAAATATGTCAGGTGAGAGAGTTACGAGGGAATAATTCTTTACGGTTTCTGTTCAACTTTTTTTTTCAAACAAGAAGTTGGTTCAGTAATTCCGCTGTTTTATCGGAATACTAGAAAAGTCGGTCAGTTTGGAAAACTAGGCCACGCAGTAATATTGCTCCATGGAACACTTAGAGTTTCAATCTTTTTTTATCTTTTTTGAATTTTTTTTTCCTTTTTCACTAAGACGGTTTTCGCTTTTTTCATTCAATTCTATCGTTATCGCGAGAAAAATGCGATGGCTACTACATCAAAAATTGATTCCATTTTTGAAAATTCCTATCAATTTTTTCGAATCCAAAATAACTTCATATAACCAAATAAGTGAAATAAAATTTTTCAAAAATCGAAAAATGAGATCATGCGTAAAATGCACACAAAAAAGGCAAGAAACAAAGTTAAATCTGAAAAAAACCCATTTTCCTGAGAAAAACGACAATAAATAAGGAACAGTTTAGTTTGAAGTGAGGAGTATGTGTCCCATATCCTAGAAAACCGATAAAAAGGTAAAAAAATATAGATTAGGGATCTTAAATTCGATTTTCCATGAAGCAAAAATTACGGCGTGGCCTAGTTTTTCCAAATCAACCGACCGACCGACTTTTTCCAACATGCCTCATCAACTTTCATTTACGCTTTTAAAACCAGAAAATTTGACTTTTTCTGGGTTTTTTTCTGAGCTAAAAAAATGAGAGCTCCTCGCAAAGATTTCGTCTCTTTTCTGTCATAAAAAAGGTTTTTTAGGAGTTTTTTTCTGTTTGAAAATGTGGAAAAATGTGGAAAATAAGAGATTTTTTTGATATTTTAGCAGTCAAAAAAATACGAAAATAAACGAAAAAAATTCTTTAAAAAAATCACGTTTTATGAGTTCTAAATTTTTTTTAAGCGCTCTCAATTCATAGACACTGTCTTCAAAAAAATTTCAAATGAATATAAAAAAATTATGAATTTGAAGGGACTACGAGTACAAGACCCGGCCATTCGTCTGGATCGGGATTTTTCTACTTTTCCAAATAATCGCGACATTTTTCGCGATTCTCGGAATTCTCGGTTTTGTTCGTATGGGCTGTGCATCTGTTGTTAGCTTCTTCATTGTTCTTTTTTCGATTGTCGTGGGTTTTTAATCAATATTTCTAAATTTAGTTTAAAAAATTCAATTTCAATTCAAACTATGTGCTCATTCTGACCTTCTAGGCCTCTTTTTCATCACATTATGATTTTTTTGCAAAGACCTAGATTAAAAAAGTGTTAATAGGTTTCCGAAAATGTCCTGAAACCAACAGAAAAAAAGTTGAATTGAAAGAAAAAAATTTTTTTTTGGATGTTAAAATGACATTTGTCCGTAGAGCAAATTTGCTGCAGAATGAATTTTTTTAATAGCTTAGAATAAAAATTCATAATTTCCAATTAATTTTTTTTCAAATTCATGGGATGTGCATATCTGTGAAAAAGCTTACAAAAAGAGTTTTTTTTTTTTAATTCCAATTTTTTTTTTTGGATTTTTTGGATTTATCAAATTTTTAAAAGGTCAAAATTCTAATTTGAAAATGTTATTTTAAAATTTCTAATTTTTTTCCGTCACTTTTTTGTCATTTTTTTCTTCAAAACTTCAGCATTCTAAATTCGAAAAAAATTCGACAGAAAAAGACCATTTTTTTCAAAAATTTCATTTTTTTTAGGTTTCACGAACTTTTTAAATTTCACATCTAGAACCTTGAATTATAGTTTAAATTCCAGTTATTCCTGTACCTGGTGCACTACAACAAGCGGTTGAATCGCCTACTCAACAGCCATAATTACGAACACAACATGTATTCGCTTGCTTTGAAATACCAAGTCGAGGAGAATGTCCGCATTTTGGAGGTAACTCCAAAAAAAAAAAGCTGTTCCGTGAATTTCACGCAGCGTAAATGTGATGGCGTAGATGAGCATAGAGCAGTTGAAAAGATACAAAAATTGATCACAGCTTTTTTTGGAGATCAATATTTCTGAGACCTTTTAATGAAAATTCAATCAAATTTTTCAAGTTTCAGAAAAAATCTGGTCCATTCTTATGGAGGAAAACCCGATCCTTTAGAAAAAAAAAGCAAGAAACTAAATTTTATTCAAAAATCGCTTGTTCGGGACTTTCTCTGCGCCCTCTTACTCTCTCGGCGAAGCTCTCACGTTCATGCGCTATTTTCTTTCTCTGAACTCGCCGTTGAGAGAGGAGAGGGCGCAGACGGGTTATAGTCTGTTCAGATTTTGAATGTCAAGTCGTCGCTCAAGCTCCGCCTCCTAATGGCGCGATAAACCAATCAGAGAGCGAGCAATCCACAGAGTGTTTTTGAATGACGTCATTGCACTTGAAATTTAAAATCTGAACAGACTATAGATAAGTTCAAGTTGTGCTGAATAAAGTATAGAAAAAACTTAGTTTTTGGCCTGAGGTCACCGATTTTTAAAGAAATATGAAAATTCAGGCGATCCACCGGATGATTTTCCTGGTGTGGACAACGACGGCAATGAGCGCCTTGACGTTGACGATCGCCAGTTTTGGAACGATGCCAGAACATGTCCTCATCAGACTACTTCTTCTCATTGAGTTCCTCATGAATTTGTGAGTTTCATTCATAAATGTAAAAATCAACAGGAGATAACTTTTTAATGGACTAAACTCGCGGTGGGGCTTCTAACTTTATTGTTTTCGCTTCTTTCTCTGAATTTATGCTCGTTCAAACTTTTCTAGTCCGGCTCGTTTTAGAGGCATTTTTATTAATCAATCATTTTATTTTCGCAACATCGGGATGGTATGGTGATGTTTGCAGGGAGGGATGAACACCTAGCATACACTAACCCCAACTGTAAAGAAAAAAGTTTTTGTATGAATGAAGAAACATAGAACAGTAATAAGTTGATATTTAAACCAAGTTGATTATGGCACAAATCTGTGAACACTTGAAAGAATATGCTCGATTTTCTGCATACACTAAAAACATGTCCTTAAATTTTTTCTTGTCTTCCTCTGTCATTAATTCATGTTCAATGTCATTCCAAACATTAGTAATGCGATGTGATAAGAAATTGAAGAAAACCAGTGAAGGTTTCGTTTTTATCAATTCAAAGGCATAAGGGCTGTAAAAAACGGTATTTCAGTTCACAGCAGCACTTGTAGAGCTTTTCATGGTGAATCGATCGGTGACCTTGGAAACGTACCGAAAATCTTAGTTTCGGAAAAAAAATGATTCAATTTCGGAGAAAGGGAAGCTTGAGTTCCCGCAAAAAGAGCGCTTTGCAGTAAAGTTGCTCTATGGACAACACGTTTCGCCATTTTTCGGATTTTAGCCTTTTTCTTCGTTTCTTTCAATTTTCATCTTTTTCTGTTGTCACCAAAGTTCTTCTTGTCACGATGAAAAGCTACTGAAGTGGCCACTAAATAGAGAGCCTCTATAGTGGCCACCAAAACGGAAAATAGTGGCCACTATAGAGGTGGGCTTAGTAGCCACTTTAGTGTCCTCTCCAAGTAGTCCTTGACGAGCCTCTATTGGGGCCCCGGTAACTAAGCTTTCTCAGCTTTTTTGTCCCCAAGAAAAAACAAACTCGTCAAAAAAGTGTTCCAGGAACCCGCTGGCGATAGTTCCCTGCGGGATCTGGATAACCCCGCGATGGAGACAGGTCTATTCAGAAGTTCTACCGAACCTTCTTCGGAAGAGATTTTGCCGACAACCTTCCAAAGTTCACGTCATCGAACGCTGCATGTCTATCCAACAGCAAACCGATTTTTATTTCAAGAATTTGGAAAAAGCTTGGTGATTTCTCCACAAGATTATAATCATTTCACTCCCAACCTGTTCCCGGGAAAAGTGACTCTGAAGTTCACAAAAAACGTAAAGAGTCATATTTTCACCTCAGTGCCCTAATTAGTGAGTTTCGTCCCGCCAAACAGAAAAAAATAAAAAGTTGTATTACTCATCATTTTTTTTCTCAAGCTCCAGTTTTTTTCGATTTTTGGTTATCATCCCTAGTCCTTTTCTAGAAAGTCGGAAATTTAGGTTTTTTTTTCACAAAAAAATGAAGAATCCACTTTTAAAAAAACTAAAAAAATTTACCACTTTTTTTAACCCTAAAAATCACCTAGAAAATGACTCATATTTGGCGATTTTTTTACTTATTTTTTTATTCTTTTCCTAACTGTTCAAATTTTTCCATTTTTTTGGTTCTTATTCCGAGTGATCTTGAAAGTCAGGCTTTTCAACCTTTTTTTAGTGAAAAAGAAGGATTTAAAAAAACCGAAAAATTTTCACTTTTGTAACCTTAAAAAAATCAACTAGAAAATGACTCATATTTGGCAATTTATGATGTTCTTTTTTTATTTTGTTTTTCAAAAGTCCTCCAGATTTTTACGAATTTACAGTCATCTTCCCATCCTCTTAGAAATCAGGAATCTTCTCATGGGATTTTTGGGAAAAGAAAAAAATTTCTTACTTTAGAAAAACCGAAAATGTCTAATTTTCTACCCTAAAAATCAACCAGAAGTGGCTCAAACTTGGTGATTTTTTGATGTTTTTTTTTCTTTTTCTTATTTTCAAACTTTCAATTTTTCGGTCACCATCCTTAAGGTTTCTAAAAAGTCGAGGGCTTCTGACTTTTTGAAGAAAAAAAGGCAGAATTCGAAAAAATCGCGATTTCCTACTTTCTTATCTAAAAAAATCCACTGGAAATGAATCAAATTTGGCGACCTTATTTATAATTTTTTTCTTTTCAATTTTAAGCTAGTTGAAGGTTTTCCAGTTTGAAGGTTTATTTTCCGAAAAACATGGAATCGAAAAAAATCGGAAAAAAACTTGCAATTAACAAAGAAAAATTTGGCCATGCTCCTTTAAATTATAGGTTCTGTTCAAACTACAATTTTTCTTCTTTTCACTATCTTATTTATTCTTTTTTTGAGAATTGTTTGTGTTAAGACCTCTTAGAACCATCTTTTGAGAAACGATTTTTTTCAACTGACCCCATCAAAAAAATATATATATATTCCTTAAATTTACAAGAAAATGCATTGTCATGTATTTTCCCACAGTCATTATTTCATTCTATCGTTCAATTATTATCGCTTTATGTCATAATTTTCTGTTTATTCTGTAAATATCTTGAATAAAAATCGTGTTTGAACTTACATAAAAAATGGCAAAAACGAAAAAACCACCAACCGGACTCGAACCTTGAACCTAATTCCTTCAGTTCAAGGCTTCTACCACTACACCATAAACCCTAATCACAGAGATCAAAGTGGAAATACTGAAAAACATGCTAGAAGGGTCAGAAAATAGAAGTTATACTGAAAAAGTGCTTCAAAATGTCCTTTTCTTAAACCAAAATAATAAAAATTTGCCCTCATTTTCATTTCCCATGTGTTTTGGATTGAACCATCAACTCTCTTTTTTGATTCATTATTTTAAAAAGTTCAGTTAAATAATATACATTTTGGCGTGGTCGCATTTGAAATGGCTCAAGGCGTTGCGGTTGTCAAAATTTCTACATTTGACCACAAAGCAGCATAATTTCCTGCATTGCGCGCAAGTCGTTTTGGGTCGGGTGCAAGAGCTGCGAAATGAGAACTCCGTTCGCTTTGACATAAAAATCCGTGGTCGCATTTGGAATGGCTCAACGCGTTGCGGTTGTCAAAATTTCTACATTTGACCACAAAGCAGCATGATTTCCTGCACTGCGCGAAAGTCGTTTTGGGTCGGGTGCAAGAGCTGCGAAATGAGAACTCCGTTCGCTTTGACATAAAAATCCGTGGTCGCATTTGGAATGGCTCAACGCGTTGCGGTTGTCAAAATTTCTACATTTGACCACAAAGCAGCATGATTTCCTGCACTGCGCGAAAGTCGTTTTGGGTCGGATGCAAGAGCTGCGAAATGAGAACTGCGTTCGCAATTCAATTAAAAATACGTGGTCGCATTTGGAATGGCTCAACGCGTTGCGGTTGTCAAAATTTCTCATTTGACCACAAAGCAGCATATTTTCCTGCACCGCGCGGAAGTCGTTTTGGGTCGGCTGCAAGAGCTTCGTATCCGCAACGCGTCAAGCCATTCTACGGTCGCTTCAAGCTTCTCAATGAAATTTTCTTCCACTCTTAAAAAAGCTACATTCTCGAGTTTTTATTTCGAAAATCATGGCTAAAAATCAGAAATAAATCAATTTTTGATTGATTTTCTGTAACCCACGAAAAAAAAATGTTGCAACTTGGATTTTCAAGTTCCCTCAAAAATCCCCTTTTTTTTGCGAAAACAGAGAACAAAAAGCCGTTTTTAATTGTTATTGTGGCTCGTTTTTCGAAGAATTCGCCTTATTTTCACCCTTTTTTTTTTTTGAGGAAAATTCAATATTGCAGAGCTTGGTGAGATGAATGATATCAAGGTCTACCTGGAAGGTGAGCATTTTTCTATCTATAACCTGATTTTTTGATTTTTTCCAGGAACCCGAATAATTTTCTCGAACACTACAACGTTATACGCGCCGGTGATGGTTTATCGGGTCGCCGAAACTTCGAATTTCTTGGAGATTTTCATAGTCGTCGAAGTTTTTCTACTGGCTGTCTCAATGTTTTTAACGGTAGAGTTCTCTTTTTTAAAAATTTGGTGCCGCATTTGGAATGGCTCAATGCGTTGCGGTCGCGGAGCGCTTTTTTCAATCTGCACCCGACAAAAAACTACTTTCGCGCGTTGGCATATTTTAGCACACGTTTCATTCATGGCCGGGGGCAGATCTAGGCTAACGGCTAAACTTGAAAATAAATTATGTCAAATTCAAAATACTCTCCTTTTTTAAAATTTGGTGCCGCATTTGGAATGGCTCGATGCGTTGCGGTTTCTAATCTGCACCCGACGAAAAACTACTTGCGCGAGACTACATGTTTTAACAGTAAAAGAGGAAAATCGCTCAGGGTCGGCTGCAACGGAAAGTCTGTGGTCACTGGTCAGAATGTGGCGCAACTTTAAAATAAAGACCGAATTCGAAACAAACGTTTTGAAGTCAAATTGCGCCGATATTTGGTGTGGAATGGCTCAATGTGTTGCGGTCGCGGAGCGTTTCTTTCTAATCAGCACCCGACGGAAATCGACTTTCGCGTTGGGGCATCTCTTAGCAGCGAAAGAGGAAAGTCACTCAGGGTCGGGCGCAGCTTTAAGCTAGGGGCCATCATTGAAACTTTTTCAAATCAGCACCCGACGGAAAACTACTTGCGCGCGATGGCATCTTTTAGCATATAAGGATCGGCTGCAGCTCAAAGTTCAGGTCCAAACTTGAAAAAATCTTGTTTTTGAGTCAAAACGCTCCAATTTTTTAGCCTTTTCAAGTGTCCATTTCAAGTGACTAAGAAATTAGTCGAAAAATTCAGATAAGCAGTACGATCGTGGCGATTCGACACCGCGGTTGGCACTGGAATATTGTTGCCCTGCTTATTCTGTTCAACGTTTCCTGGTACGAAATTCTAATCTCGAGAGTTATCACGGCAACTTATCAGTTCTCATGGCAAGGCTGGTTCCTCAATTCTTAGCATTTCAAGAATTCTCAAGCTCGTGGTCGCATTTGGAATGGATATTTATGAACGTAGAATAAGAAAATGTCTTCCAAAAAATCAAAAAAAAAATCCAGAAACTTCAGAACAACCATCAAATCTACCGGAAGTCTTCGAAACCTACATAATATCGGACGACGAAACGAGCAATTATTGGCCTCTGGCTTTTGCCGGGTATTTGAGACTACGTTACATGTTACTGATGTGTTGGATGTTGCCCTGTTTGGCCGTGGAGCGCACTTGCGCCACGATATTCATCAAGTTGGTTTTCTCTCATGTTTCTATGTTTAAAAATTCTTGCTGAATATGTTAAAAACTTTTTTTTGAATCGGAAAAATTCAAGTCCTGACAAGGAAGGTATTTTGTTTTAAAAATTTCCTGGAAAATCGAAAAAATCATTATACAATTTCCTGGCCGTTTCAACTATAAAAAATAGAACTTTTCTTTTTTCATAAATGAAAAATCATGCGTCAAAAAAAAGTTGGAAGCAAAATCTAAAGAAAGATCAAATGCGCTGAAATATTGAAAAAAAAAATCAGCAAAATTTCTGAATTTTCATCTCTTCCAGGGACTACGAACAACGGGAAAGACACTACATATCCTTCTTCACATTTTTAATTTGTGAAATCGCCGCGACCATCTGCGCTCTACTGATGTCCTTCATGATTTTGAACGTCAATACCTTATCCAGTGCAGCATTTTGCGGCAATTTTTTCGTCTTTGTGGTGGGTTATAACATTCAGAATTGTTGTCAAACTATCAGGGAAAAAGGGAATTTTTGTTGTTGTTGTTGTTGAAATATATTTCTATAAGTTATCAGTATCTTTGGTCTTTATCGTCCTAAAAATTTCTAGAAAAAAAAAGAAAAACTATAGCCTTGTACTTTTCAGCTTTATTTGTGAAGAACTTTTGTGACGAGTTCGTTATTTTTTTTCTTGAGTTGGTTCATTTTCTGATAAATTCGCTTGTTCACCAGGTTTCGTAAATTAGGAAGGACCTTGAAAAAGCTAAAGTGTTGGCAAAATCTTGTTCTTTCTATTTGGAAGTCTTCTGAAGCAGGAAAAAAATGTTTGAAAAACCTTATCTTATTAAAAAAACTTTTTTTGGAATATTGTCGAAAAAAATGACTATTTAGGGTCATAATCATAAATTTGGTTCATTTGACCTAACTTTCAAAAATAACTTTGGGGGTTGAGTCAAACTTTAGAAATGACTCTTTGGGGGGGGTCCAATTTTAAAAAAATGATTGTGGGGGGTCCAACTTTAAAAAAATTACGGTGGGGGGTCAATTCAAACTTTAGAAATGACTCTTTGGGGGGTCCAATTTTAAAAAAATGATTGTGGGGGGGTCCAACTTTAAAAAAATTACGGTGTGGGGGGGGTCAATTCAAACTTTAGAAATGACTCTTTGGGGGGTGAGTCTAACTTTGAAAAATAACTGTGCGGGGGAAATAAAAAAAGACCAAAATCGAAGTTTTAGTCAATTTTTGCAAGTACTTTTCACTCATCATTTTATTTTTTTTATAAGTTTTTTTATCTATATGCCTCGTCAGAAACGTCCCCAATTCGAAATCCAAGTTAAAAAATCTACAGTCCTTGATAATTTCGTGTATTTGTTACAGTTCAAACAAATTTTTCAGACATTCCTGTACCTGAACAGTCGAAATCAATCGCTGTTGAAGCAGGTGAGTTGCAGTCGGATCGATTCTAAAAACTATACATTATCGCTGAAATTTCAAGTCGATGAAAACGTCAGGATTTTGAAGGTTGGTGGGGAGTTTTGTACTGTAGAAAGGCGGGAAAATTGACGACACTTTGAAAGATGAACGCTCTGGAAGGTATTCAGAAATTCTAATAGGCTTTTGAGGTGGGAAATCGAGAAAAAATAATTCAAAATTGAAGAAAAAAGGGCAATAAAAAATTCAAATAAGCAAAAAATCAAAAAAATTGAAAAGGGGCGAAAAAACGAGAAATTGTGCGCTCCATGGAGAATCGATGCTCTTGATTGAACTTGGGACATCTAACCGGAATTTTTTTCCAACTTTATGTCTCAAAAACGATTCTCAAGTCCTTCTCAAAGAATTCATATAACATTCCAAACTTATTGAGGTTAAAATCGGAAAAAAAAAAGTTCTAAATTCGCCAAAAAACGTAAAATTGTGCGCTCTATGGCATATATTCAAATTGGCGAAAAATGAAAAAAAATTTAAAAGTGCCGAAAAAACGAGAAATTGTGCGCTCCATGGAGAATCAATGCTCTTGATTGAATTTGGGACATCTAACCGGAATTTTTCTCTAAATTCATGTCTCGAAAAATTCTCGAGCCCTTCTCAAAGTTTTACTTATTGACTTTTCATCATCTTCATCAATATATAAATTTTTTGAGGGTAAGAAAAATCAAAAAATCAAAAAACTGCTTTTTCTGGACTTTTTTTGATGATATTATTTTTCTGACGACTTTTTGAAATTTCACGTCTAAAAATCATCGCTAGAACCTTTTAAAAGCCTGGAATTCCTCTTAAAAGATCAAATTTTTTTCACATTTTAGAAAAAAATTTGATTTTAGTTCTCTTTATCATTGATTTTTTTGTAGTTCTAGAGGGTTTTTTTGACCCGGTTTTCTTCGACTTTTTTTAAATATATCTATTTTCAGGCCCTTCGGCTGGTCGTGACTTTCGGGTCATCTTTTGTGTTTTTCATCGCCTTTTCGTTCGTTTTAATCGAACTTAATCTCGTTTCGAAAAAAACTGCGTCCGCTTTGCATTTGTTAGTGGATCTCTTGATTCATATGTAGGTTTCTTTTTTTATTGTTTGATTTTTCATTTTATTAGTTTTCGAAACTTTTCTTTTAAGATCAAGAGCTGAGAATTCAGCCCAAAGCTGAGAAAAATGATCTCAAAAAAACAGGGAGAAATGAAAAACGAAAAAGAACTCAACAAACAGGAAAAAAATTGAAAAAAATGTGCAGTTTTTTTCACCTTTTTTTCTCGTGCTGCGATAGAATAAATTCGGAACACTTTTTCAGAAAAATTTGAATCCTTTTTTTATATTATTTTGTAGTTTTTGACAAGAAATCCTAATATTAAAACTGCGAGAGAAAAACGGAATATTAAAGGAAAAAAATCTATTTTGTTATTTCAAAGCCTTCTGAAACGGGAAAGAAGTTCAAAAAAATCTTGTATTATCGAAATTAAAAAAATCTTTTTTTCACAAGTGTTCTGTGACCGTTTTTTTCTAGATTCAATAATCATTTTTTTGGGTTCTTTTTTTCTTTTTTTCAAGAATAGGAAGACAAAGAAGCCTTGAAAGACGTAAAGTAACTCCGAAAACGGCTTTTCGCGTCGAGACCCGTTTCTATGCTCCTTTAAACAACTTTAGCAAGAATTTACGAGTAGACTCTTTTTTTCGTGAGAATCTTTTGGTATTCCAACAGAAACAGAAACAGTACTGAAAAATCGTGTTTCTCAATAAAAAAATAGTTTTGAAACAGTGAAATATGTTTAAATTTTATTTTTGAGCTTTTTTTTAAAATATTTTTTCAAAAAACCTTCTGAGCTTCAAAACTCAAAAAATTGCTAAAAACCCAATTTTTTTCCAGATCCCCAACTTTCGTTGTCCCAATCAGTATCTGCGAAACGCCAGTCTGGCGCAAGATCTACGCCCAAGCGATGCCGAGCTTTATTCGACGATTTCTGTGCCGAAATCGCTCCTGGAGTACTGTAACCGTACCGAAACTCACTACCGACCAGCAAACTAATACTTATTTTCGACATTTGGACAATGTTTGGAGATGAAAATTCATTTTTTTATAAGTTTAAGGATGGGGGGCTTGCCCAAAATATAGCTTGAGGATTTTTTTTTCGGGACCTTCAAAAAATACGTATTTCAAAAGAAAATCTTGGGGATTGACTATTTTTTGAATTATACTCACTTTTCTACGATTCATAACGCCGTGGTCGCATTTGGAATGGCTCAACGCCCGCGACCCTTCAATATTTCTTCGCACCCGACTGAAAACTACTTGCGCTCGGCTTTATTTAGCATGAGAGCTAGAGAGAAGTCGGTCAAGCTCAGTTATAAGCTAACAGCTAAAATTAAAAGTTTAGAGTCTATTTTCGAAGATTTTGGCTTGAAAAGATGAAATCTTTAAAGGAGCATGGACAAATTTAATAAAGGGTCTCGAGACGAAAAGCCGTTTTTCTTGTTTTCCAGGTCATTCAAGGGTTTTTTTTTCAGTTTTAATCAACCATAACCTTTTTCCAAGAGATATTAACCAAATTAATCATTTTTTTAAGCTCAATATTCATTTTTTTCCGGATTGAATTATATTATGAAAACGAAAAAAACAGTGGTTTAGCTAGAGTCACAGCCCGTTTTTGGCTCAAAGTCTCGAAATAGCTCATTTTAGCGGTTTTTTTGGGTTTCTCGGAGTTCCAGGTGTACTTTTCCAAAAACTAGAAATTTTCGCTGGTTGAGATTTTCGAAATCTTCCTTTTGTTACATCAAGAAGAGTTTCGGCCGATTTTCAGGAAAATCCCAACCCCATAGTGTAATGACCTCCGTGTGGGTTCTTGCGATTTTTTTCCTCAATTTTTCCCAATTTTTTTGGTCTATTCCAGAGAACCAACCTTATCTCCACATCGAAAAATTCCAACTCAAAAAAAAAAGAGGTGTTTGTTTTGTTTTTCTCTCCGAACCCAGACCAAGAAACCTGTTCGTCTCATGTTTGATAAGTGTGATAAGCCGCTCAAAATAGATAGAAAATAAAAATCTCAACATCACACATTCCTCATAAATAATTTCACGTGGACAACAATCCGAAAATGTGTGACTTTTTGTCCCAAAGTTCGCCAATGACGAACTTGTTTGTGAGAAAATTCCTGGTCTCTCGTAACGAAATCTTTGACCAATGTTTCGAATCGAAACTGGTTAAGTCTGTCTGAGAGAAGACGGAAAATAGTAATATCGAGTATAGTCTTGTCGAAAATCCTCTTTGAATGGTTTAAAGGAGCATAGGTAAAATTTTGTAGGGTCTCGATGCGAAGAGCAGTTTTCAGTGACATTTCAAAGTCATCGAAGACTTCTCAGAGCTCAAAACCATCCTAAAATTGGCTTTTGAGTAGAAAATTGATGAAAAAAACCTTTTAACGTTTTTTAAAGGAGCATAAGTAAAATCCTCAAGGGTCTCGAAGCGAAGAACAGTTTTCAGTGATATTTCGAGATCACTGAAGGCTTCTTAAAGCTCAAAGACATCTTATATTGGTCCTTGAATAGAAAATTTTTGAAAAATCCTCTTTCAGTTGCTTAAAGGAGATTTTCTATAAGCCAATTTCAGATGTCTTTGAGCTCTGAGAAACTTCTATGACACTATAATGTCACTGGAAACGGCTCTTCGCTTCGAGACCCTAAAAAAATTTACCTATGCTCCTTTAAACCATTCAAAGAGGATTTTTCACGAAAATTCTATCAATAAGCCAATTTTAGATGTCTTTGAGCTCTGATAAGTCTTTAATAACCCTATAATGTCACTGAAAACGGCTTTTCGCTTCGAGACCATTAAGAAATTTACCTATGAACCAATTTTTAGAACTTTTTCAAACTTTTTTCGCTGTTTTTGTTCGATGATAGAGTGTAGAAGAATTGAATAAAAAAAGCAAAAAAAGTTTGACGTCAAAAGGAATCGAACCTAGCATAAATAAAAGGAAAGTTTTACTCTGACAAGGGCTGTGTGCGCGGTGAACATCGAGTTAGGAATTGAGGCTTATATGGTGGATGGACCTAGGGAAGAGTGCTCCAAAACGAAAGAGAAAATCTGCTAAGCGCCATAGGGTACCGAGAAAAAGCTCGTCAAAGTTTTGCCGCCACGTATATGCCCGCGCTCGGAGTGCTCGGCCAGCTACTGGGAGCGTGGTGAAGTGGCAGTGCTCTTGAATGGCGCTGACGTTATGCTAGGTTCGATTCCTTTTGACGTCAAACTTTTTTTGCTCTTGTTTATTCAATTCTTCTGCAATCTATCATCAAACAAAAACAGCAAAAAAAGTTTGAATTGAAGGAGTTGATTGAAATTTGGGGAAGAAGAAAGGAGAAAGCACAAAAAAACTTTTTTTTTACGTCAAATTTAGTTTTTCCATCGAAAACTTCTAAAAAATCGTCCAAATAATAGATGCTTGGGCGGCTTCTCGAGATGATAGCACAATAAAATACAATAAAAGGTTGTATACCTCGTGTAAAAAACTTATAATTGTGAATAATATCACACTTGGCTCCTCTGGTCTCATTCAACCACTTTATATGTTTTTTTCTTCTTTTTACTGTTTAGAAATCTTTCATCGCAAAAATTCCACCGACTCTATTTTCCCTTTTTTGAAGCCCCTCTCATACCAAAAGGTTAGTTCTATTGTTCACTGAAACTTTTGAAATTTCATAGAGAATGCGAAATTACATTGACAGGTCTCCCTTTGTTTCGGGCTCGTACTCGTACCTGGTTTCTTTTTTTTCACGAGTGATTTTTCACTTATATTGTTTCGATCCAATCGTGTTGTGATCTCGAAAGCCATGAACCAATTTTTAGAACTTTTTCAAACTTTTTTCGCTGTTTTTGTTCGATGATAGAGTGTAGAAGAATTGAATAAAAAAAGCAAAAAAAGTTTGACGTCAAAAGGAATCGAACCTAGCATAACGTCAGCGCCATTCAAGAGCACTGCCACTTCACCACGCTCCCAGTTGCTGGCCGAGCACTCCGAGCGCGGGCATATACGTGGCGGCAAAACTTTGACGAGCTTTTTCTCGGTACCCTATGGCGCTTAGCAGATTTTCTCTTTCGTTTTGGAGCACTCTTCCCTAGGTCCATCCACCATATAAGCCTCAATTCCTAACTCGATGTTCACCGCGCACACAGCCCTTGTGAGGAACTCACGTTGTATAATAATACTAGCGGAAAAATTCGAAGTAGAAAAAAAGTTATTAAGAGAAGAACAAGAAAAAGAAAAATGGTAAACCGATTAAAAGAAATGCTAGTCAAATGGTATGGATATCCAGAAAAAAATTTAATTCTTGGGTTCTTGATGACGAAAAATGTATCTTAATGCTACATCGACAACAATAGGTGTGATTCATACGCTGAAAAACCTTTACTCTATTATCTCTAACTTCAACAATATTATCACTCATGATTAGACAATAACACTTTGTACTTTGAGCAATGTTTTTTTAGCAAAGCTGGCTTTTTATTGTAACATCAGGTCTTGATTGAATTATTCTATCATTTTGTTTTGATACATCGAAAAACTAATAGAGGATAATAATAATAATAAACATCCTCTTCCATGAAAAATATAATCCTTCACACTTTCATAATAACTATTTCTAAATTCTTTGGCAAAAATTATATTGTTGAACAGCATTGAATTTATCAAAAATCAAATTTTATACATTCATATGGATACCTTTCTGAATTTAACTCCACATAAATTTCTTCCAATCCACAATTATCAAATTTGCCTGCGTTGAGATAATTATTATCTCTTGCACATTGGAATGCTATGACTATGTACTTTAGTTTATCATATTTTTGTTCCTAACTTCCATGTAAACTCACGATTACCATTAGGAATGTTATAACTTTCAAATTGTCGAGAAATGAATGGCATTTGTATTACTTTTATTACTTTCATGAATGTTTAAAAGTTTATTTTTGCATTTCGAGGCTAGGAACAATTTTTTTGGAATTATCCATTGAAGTTTATTGATAACCATCTTAGCTGTGAATTGAGTTGGATCACTGGAAGTAATAGAATTTTTTTATTATCTGGTGATCTATAGAGTGAGAGTTGATGTTTTCTTCCATAAATTACGCGAGGGTAACACTCAACAAATCCAAAGATATGACTCAATGGAATACAAAATGTCAAGTTACCATTTCTATTCTTAGTATATTTATTAATTTTGTATTGAATTTTGTCTTTACTCTCCAAGATCCAACCAAAAGTGTTTTGTTTGTTCATTGTTGAAGAGTAAGTTAGTAAACATTTTAATAAACTAGCTCTTCCTGGATCTATTATGTTTTCAACTTGCATTCCATCCATTGAATAAGTAGTTCTATCAAATAGAAACAATGGTGCATTATTAGTTAGAGAAACTTCATCTGTAGCAGCTAAAGCAGAATCATCAGTTTTTGTTAGTTTAGCTTCTAAGAAAATATAACTTTTGTGTAGTAGTAGATATTGATCACATGTTTCAATAATGAAATTTATTTTTACCAAGTTGATTTAAATTCGATCCACTTGTAGGAAAAAAATGTTTATCAGATTCTCTTTTTGAATACTATGATCATTAACGATGGGCTCACCAATTACTAAAAACTCTGTCAATCGCTTCTTTTGAATCTGACATTTTTTTATTTTCACTTCAGAGAAAAAGTCAGAATGAATTTCAATTTATTTAAAAATATTTTTTTCTAATAATAAATACTAGAAACAATCCAAAGGATAAGAATCAAAAAAATTTTAAAAAAATGAATCTGCTACAATTTTATTTCTTCTTGACATTTAATTATCATGATATTCTTGCTTCCTTTATAAGCCCAAAAGCCAAAAGAACTATTTCGACAAAGAAATTTTGAGATGCTATGAAATTGATGCAAAAGTATTTCTCTTGATTCATTTGGTTTCCAAAAAAGTCAAATGACTGAAAAATCCTATTACGCCAGGCCACCTCGTTAAGAGTGGAAGGCTTACAGTTCTCTACCTGGATTTTTCCGGTGGTATGAAAAAAAAAACCAGCGAATTTTCGAACGGCGACTTTTTCCGATTTGTTCAAATCGCTAGGGAACTTTCCGACGGCCACTTTGTCCACTTTTTTGTGTTTTAATCATGAATCAACTACCTACTTTATATGGGAGGATTCAAAACGAAGAGTTTATTTAGCAAAAAAGTTGAAAAGGATTAGTCGGAAAGTTCTTCGTCGGAAAGCTCCCTAGCGATATGAAAAAATCAGATAATTCGCCGTTCGAGTTTTCGCTGATCTTTTTTTCATACCACCATTTTTTCGTGTTTTTGTGTTTTTGTAAAAAAGTTTCATACATCGCTCAAAACAAGCGCTTCTAGATGCTAGGGCGATATCGCCATACAAATGACCGTCGCGCCACGCTGACTTTTGAAAAAGTCATTTCTGCCTTTTGGGCGTTTATGGCTTGGCAGGCAGGGCGGCCAGAGGGCAGCCATCCTCCACCTCTGTTCTGCAAGACTAACATCTCGATGATTCATCTCCTTTTCAACTAAGTGTTCATATATTTAGTTATTCTGACAGTGTCTCCAATTTGGAATTTCGCTTTCATATCTTTTTCTTCCTCTTTAGAAAAAAGATTTTTCTCTTTAGGAAAAAGATTTGAGTTAACAATACTTTCATTTTCTATTTTTGAAGCCTGTGTGGGTGTCATTTTTATTGAAGTGTGATAATGATTATTATATCCTTGAACTAACTTATCTAGAATATCAGTCCATTTGTGATCTCCTTGATGAGTAAACATCTTCCACATTTTCTCTTTTAACGTTCTATTGAATCTTTCAACTATTGATGCTTTCTTATCTGAATAAGTTGAGAAGTGATTAATTTCTAAAGATTTAAATAACTTATTCATTTCTTTATTATAATACTTTTTACCATTATCAGTTTGCATCTTTTTTGGTTGTCTTTTACTTTTTGTAAAGATAGATTCTAATGCATCTGCAGTTTCTTTACCACTTTTACTCTTAAGAGGAACTACCCATGCAAACTTTGAAAAAAACAATCAATTATAGTTAGAAGATAATTTTATCCTTTATTTTCTTTTGAATAGGAATCATTTCCACTAAATCTGATTGCCATTGTTCATCTATTCCACTGACGTAAACTCTTTGACTCTTGAAGTTTCTACGTGCTGGTTTGTGAAGAGTATAAACATCTTGTTGATTTAGAAATTCTTTGACATCTTTTATTGGTTTCTTTGTTTTACGTTGTAATTCATTGATACCACAAAAACCTGTTTCAGGAGAATAATAAGTTTTTTCTAAGATCTCTTTCTCCTTCGAATCTTTCATGTCTTTCGAATCTTCTATTCCATTTCCTATTTTCACTCCTTTAGTCGATATAAATTTACACTTTGTTGTGTTGCAATCTTCACATAAGCCCTTCATCATTGATCTGTTGCTATTTGTCAAACATTGAAACACATTAAACGTATTCGTCTTCATCTTGCACTTGAAACAATACACAATCATCTTCCAATTTAAACAAGATAGAAAATGATAAAGATAAAATAATCATAATATTGGTTTATGTTATAAATACCGGTAAAGCTATATTTTATAAATACCAGTATGGTTATCACCAGTTTGGTTACTACCAGTATGTTATAATGTTAAGTACTGGTAAAGCTATATTTTATAAATACTAGTAGAAGTAATGTTATATACCAGTATGGCTTTAACGAAGATCATCTTCATCATCTTCCAAATCGACCTCCATTTCAAGTTGTTCTCTGAGTTTTTTCTTTCTTTCCACTTCCTTAGCATGCCATCCGTTTAATTCTTCTATTCGAGATTTCAGAATTGGTTTATTCTGAAAAAGATCTAAAAGTATCATAGAGTGAAAAATCTTCTTACCTTTCTGATTTTATTCGTCATTTCACGTCGTTTATCGAAGCGATTTGTCTCATTTTCCAAATTAGTCTTAGCAACATCATATTTAGCCTTGAGAATATCAACCTGAACTTATTTTTTATTGTAAATACTTATGCACTCAAAGAAAAACGAACCTTGGCTTGCAGTTTCTGAATATAAACGGCTTCTTTTTCTCTTCGGATTGCATCGCGTTCCACTTCAATGTCTGTATTTTTTTTCTTCCTCTTATCAACAACCATCTTTTCACTCATTGTAATTGAACAATAGGACATCTCTGAAAAGAATGAATTTAAATTTTAAATGAAAACATATAATTCTAAAGTAAGTTACAAATGAAAAATAGATAATTTATGCAAAGAAAAGTTGAAGAAATTCTGCGACGAAAATCGTTCTCAATTCAGAGAAAAGAGCGCCTTTCCTTTTATACTGGTTTGCCAGCATCTTCGAGAAGGTCACTGTGACCGAATACAATTATTATGACGTGTTCACGTGTAGTTATTGTGAGTCACGGGTCTAACTCGTGAGATTTATTCCTTTTTTGTATTACACTCAAGTCGGTCGTCTTATTCGCTGGGTAACATTATTTTTTCATTGTTGTATCTTTGGGTGGGCTGAGTAAATGGGAAGACATGGCAACAATCACACATTTGCCCCAGTTGAACTCGACGCAATGCATTGGGCTAGAGTGATGAGAGTGTGGCGTCTGTGAGCAGAGACACAGAGGAACACGGGACGTTGCCAACATCGCATCCTTCCACCACATTCTAACTTTTGTGAATAGAAAAGAGATTTTCTTTTCTTCTGTAGTTTGCGTTGTGCATGATTTTACATCCATAGCTATCATTGTTTTTCTCGATAAGTTTTAGTTAAGGAAACCGGGAAGGCAAAAGGATTTCGTGTAAAAGCTAGAACCATCGATGCTAATTTTGATAAATCTCACAAGGGCTGTGTGCGCGGTGAACATCGAGTTAGGAATTGAGGCTTATATGGTGGATGGACCTAGGGAAGAGTGCTCCAAAACGAAAGAGAAAATCTGCTAAGCGCCATAGGGTACCGAGAAAAAGCTCGTCAAAGTTTTGCCGCCACGTATATGCCCGCGCTCGGAGTGCTCGGCCAGCAACTGGGAGCGTGGTGAAGTGGCAGTGCTCTTGAATGGCGCTGACGTTATGCTAGGTTCGATTCCTTTTTGACGTCAAACTTTTTTTGCTTTTTTTTATTCAATTCTTCTACACTCTATCATCGAACAAAAAAACAGCGAAAAAAAGTTTGAAAAAAAGTTCTAAAAAAAATTGGTTCATGGCTTTCGAGATCACAACACGATTGGATCGAAACAATATAAGTGAAAAAAATCACTCGTGAAAAAGAAACCAGGTACGAGTACGAGCCCGAAACAAAGGGAGACCTGTCAATGTAATTTCGCATTCTCTATGAAATTTCAAAAGTTTCAGTGAACAATAGAACTAACCTTTTGGTATGAGAGGGGCTTCAAAAAAGGGAAAATAGAGTCGGTGGAATTTTTGCGATGAAAGATTTCTAAACAGTAAAAAGAAGAAAAAAACATATAAAGTGGTTGAATGAGACCAGAGGAGCCAAGTGTGATATTATTCACAATTATAAGTTTTTTACACGAGGTATACAACCTTTTATTGTATTTTATTGTGCTATCATCTCGAGAAGCCGCCCAAGCATCTATTATTTGGACGATTTTTTTAGAAGTTTTCGATGGAAAAAAACTAAATTTGACGTAAAAAAAGTTTTTTTGTGCTTTCTCCTTTCTTCTTCCCCAAATTTCAATCAACTCCTTCAATTCAAACTTTTTTTCGCTGTTTTTTTGTTTCGATGATAGAGTGCAGAAGAATTGAATAAACAAGAGCAAAAAAAGTTTGACGTCAAAAGGAATCGAACCTAGCATAACGTCAGCGCCATTCAAGAGCACTGCCACTTCACCACGCTCCCAGTTGCTGGCCGAGCACTCCGAGCGCGGGCATATACGTGGCGGCAAAACTTTGACGAGCTTTTTCTCGGTACCCTATGGCGCTTAGCAGATTTTCTCTTTCGTTTTGGAGCACTCTTCCCTAGGTCCATCCACCATATAAGCCTCAATTCCTAACTCGATGTTCACCGCGCACACAGCCCTTGTCAGTTGATTTTAAGTAGAATTTCGAAAATTTGCATATGAAACACGCCAGAAATACTGGGGAAAAAATCGTTTTCATTTTTTCCCTTTGTTTGTTTCCGAATTGTCGGGTTCCTTTGTTGTTAAGTTTTGCTTTTTGTTGTCATAAAATTTACGTCCTTTTACTTGGTTTTTTAGTATTACGCCATTTAGAAGTAATAATTCTACTAAGTTGCGGTACATTCTAACTGTGCTAGTTTTTTTCCGGAAATTGGCGCTTTTCCTTTCTTTCTACAGGGTGACAAATAAATATTGAAACGCGTTTGAAACGTTATAACTTTCTCAAAAGTCAACCAAACACCACCAAACTTGGAACAAATTTTATTCATACAATATAGAAACAAAATTCAAGAATAGTTTTCAAAACGTCCTCCTTTAGCTCACGGTGTTTTTTTCTTTACGCAAGGTCAAGACTTTTCGTAAATTATGATGCTTAGGGTGTAAGCACACCGAGACGCACTATCGCATACTCAAAATGTTTTTTTCAATTTTAGAATTTGCGATTTCAGGATAATAGCTCCTGAAATGTTCGAAATTTGTCATTTTGAAGAATATGATGTGAAAAAAACATTCACTTACGTTAAAAAAACATTTAGGAACGATTTCGAAAGGGGAAAAACTCTAAATTACTGATTACAAAAATAAAAAAACAAAAAAATATTATGAAGGTGAATCAGCTCCCATTGAATAAGCATTTATAAATACGAAAAAAATATTGAAATGAGGAAAATTCGAGGAGCAAATGAAAAACATTTTATATACCTCGAAAACCTAGCTTCAGAAAAAAACAAATAATGGATAGAAAGCAGAAATTTTAGAAAAAACCTCGTATGGCGAAAAATTTTTGTTTAAATCCGAAAAAAACCATCAAAAAAACTAGAAAAAAATATATAATTTAGATGATGCATATATCGAAAATCATTAAACTGCATCAGCAAATTCAATTTGGCTCTAATTTACACGAAACCGGTTTCAAACTACGTCAAAGGAACTAGATAATAACTTTTTTTATTATTAACTGATTAAATTAAAAAAACTATAGTTTCCGAAATAGAGTGACTCTTTTTCATGTCGCGAAACAGATTTCAAAAATTTTTGAAAAAAATTAGGACTTTTAGAAAAAAATCTTCAACTCTTTTTGAGAAAAAAAGTTAAAGATCTGAAACTGGTTTAGAAAAAGTGCGCAATTTAAAAGCTCCACAAGATGTACCCATAGAAAGGCGGATAACATAAATGCAAGAAATAGAAAAAAAGTAAAAAAACCAAGAAAAAAACAGTGAAGAAATTCAATTTTTTTGCATCAGAAACCATGAGAAGGGCGCAATAATGCGCCACGGATAATATGCCGCTGGGACCCAAAATTTCGCATTTTTTTTCATTGCGCGGAACACCGTGAGCTTTGATAACGGCCTTCAGTCTCTTCGGATACGCATCGATCACGGCACGAGGGTAGTCGTCGTCGATTTCTTCCCATTTCTTGATGAGCCCGGTCTTCAGAGCTTTGATACTTGGGTAGTTCTTAGAAGAGACCTTCTCGGTCAGATATATCCACACGGCATAGTCTATCGGGTTGAGGTCGGACGAGGAAGCAGGCAAATCAGCAGCCGAGATGAACTCGGGAAAATTGGCGCTGCACCACTCTTGAGTCCCTTTGGCACGATGAGCGGGGGCGCCGTCTTGCTGGAAGGTCCATGGTCGGTTTCCGTAGTGAGAATTGGCTCAGGGCAACACCCTCAACTTTAAAATCTACTCCCTGTAGTATACTTGGTTCACTTTGACTCCAGAATCCACAAAAATCAGCGGAGTTTTGTCGTCAGCGGTAATTCCGGAAAAAACCATCACGGAAGCCGGATGCGAAGTTTTATTCAGAATTTTTCCTTTTTCACAGGCACTCTGATAGTCAGTAGCGATGATCGGATGGTTTTGGCCGTTCTTGTTCGCCTCCACAGTGAAGATTTTCTCGTCGGTAAATAGCGTCGTCAGATGCGAGCCATCTTGCGTGCCAGCGAGCAGCTTTCGAGCCTTTTTCATCCGGAATGTCTTGTTTTTTTGATTGAGGAAAGCTCCTTTCTGCATACGGTAGGGAATCATCTTCAGCTTGTCCTTGACAATAGTTCTCATCGATTCTCGACTCATTTCGTATTCTTTTGCCATCTTTCTCACGCTTCTTTCCGGAGTGCGTCTGATTTTCTCTCGAACGGCTTTGACTGCTTCTGGAGTCGTGACGGTGACTGGAAATCCCCTTCTTTTGATGTCATCTGAAGTACCGAGATGCCGTTAGCGTTGTGCAGTTCGAAAAACGAGAACATGAGACACTTTCAGCTTTTTAACGATCTCTGAATTTGTCATTCAGCTTTTGACACAATCAATGATTGCGGTACGGTACGGAAATGGGGCCACCATTACCTGAAAACTGAAAAGTATGAGCTGTAACTTCAAACACAGGATAAGTGAGCATGAATGAACGAAATAAACAAAAAAAATCCAAGGCCAGTCCTTTGTGCAAAAAGCAGCGATCAAACAAAAAACGGTTTCAATATTTACTTGTCACCCTGTATCTTCTCCTATCTTAAAAAGTGTGTGTAAACAATTAATTTTTTATCTTCTTTTTAGTGTTTGAAAAAGTTATTAATTATGGATTTCAGCCCGGTTTCTAAAGATCAATATGGAATCGGTATGTTTTGTTGATATTTTATCTTACTAGTCAATAATCTTATTTTAGTTTGTCATTGTTCGAGGATATCAGCGCGTCGTTGAAGTTACGGCAGAAGTTGATGGCATTATCAGCAAAAAGACTCTGAGGGCAGCTTTCCAACTTGAAGAGGACGTGCCGATCGGATTGTTCAGGAACAACAGAGGCTTAAAGTAGGTTTTTAATGGCTTTTATTTAAGACATTTCGATTTTCGTTAGCAATTTTAAATAAAATTCTGAACAAATTTTTTATTAAGTTTTTTAGGTGCAGAGAAGACGATTATTTCGAGCTACAAGATGGATGGAACGGAGCCGAGTACGAGTTGCGATGGGAGCAAGAGCGACGATCGCGACCAGCAACGCCAGCAGGTCAAGGTATTTTTTTAAATATTTCACACCTTTTATTGATTTTTACATTTTAAGATTTATTTTAAACATTGTCAATTTATTTATCAATTTTCAGACAGAGCACGGTCTCGACCATCAACGTCAATGGATCAAAATAAACGACCAATCAGCCCGTATTATCCAGCATGTAAGATTCTACTCAAATTCATATTGTAAATTCTTTTTTAGTATCGCCAGAACCTGCACCAAGTTCAGAAGCGTTTATCCAATGGATGTTCTATTTGCACGACCAATTGCACGGGAAAGCTACAACAATTTGTGTCCATCCGCACTTCTTTGTCACTTTTCGACATGGGACACACCAAAAGTTCAATCTCAACGACACGATGAAAATGTATAGGTAAATTGCTTAAATATTGCTTAATATTTTGTTGTTAATTTATAGAGCGCAAGAAGAAGTCGGAGAAGAAAATGGAATAGAAGTTTCCGTGGCTAACATCAATGAACCACTTGACTTTGTTCTACTCAAAAGTCAATTTGATGTTGTCAAGGTAAGTTCTTGCAATACTTCTTTTATTTTGTTGTTAATTCATGCATTTTTAGTTAGGCCCTCCGATTGATCATCCTCGAGAATCAGAACCGTTCACGCTGGTTGGATTTGGAAACGATCGTGGATATATTTCTTATTTACCTGGAGCAATTCATTATGTTCGCGATTATTCTTTTCACAATGATGATCGAAGAATGGGTCCTTTCATTTTGGGCAGTTGTGCAAGTTCGAGAGGAGATTCAGGTAAAGATTATATTTTTGGTCAATTAAATTCAGCGTAAACTTTTAGGCGCTGGTATTTGGGGATCACGAGGACTGCTGGGAATGAATTTTGGTTGCACGATGATGCCACCAACACTTCACCACGACGCAATCACTGAGGCGGCCATATTCAGTGCAAAGAACATCATTTGTCCGTCATTTCGATTCAAAGACGCTTTTATGGTATGCTAAATTACTATTACTAATCAATACTGATTTATTTAATAATGTTTTGTTTAGGAGGAACTTGCAAAAGAGGAACCTGCAAAAGAACACGGAAAAGTGACGTCGCCTCCGCGTAAGAAAGCAGCTGTAATGACCGAAATCGATGGAATTGGCCGTCTCTTTGGAAAAGAAATATACAGTACTGGCCATAAAGGTATTTCAAAGTGGTTATTCGAGCATAACTTCTCTGAAACTGACTCAAATGACTTGAAACTTCGCACAGATTTTAAATAGCTACGCAGTAACTATTTCTCAAAAGGAGAACTCATTTGTTCAAGTCAAACAGGATTTGAGAGCAAAAAAACCGAAAAAAATCGTGAAAATGAAGATTTTTACTTTAGAGATTCGAAAAAAATCATATCTTCAAAGAAACTTCGATTTTCAATTAGAAACTTTTTCCCCAGTAAAACAAGTCTTCGACTTTCCGAAAAAAACCTCATCAGCCCCCTATCAACCCGGTAGCATGAGCGTAGTGACTTTTTTTCTCCGAAAGGCCTTTTGCGTTTTGAAGCCTCGTCATTCAAATGGACTATACGAGGTCATTTTTTTGTTTGAGAACACCCTGTATCATGTTGAAAAAAACTTCAAAAACCTCCTCAAGAATAGTTTCACACTGTTTTCCTCAGCTTTCTCACTTTTACCCGCTCTTCAGAACTCACTAACTTCTCTGGGACCGATTTTGAACCTCTGATTTGAAGCGGTTATGCTCGTTTTTTTCAAAAATCAGAACACTCTCGATTTCTCATTTCAGATTCCAAAGCTTTTTCCAAAACCTTAATGAATGAAAAATAAAAGGAGACTCACTGTGTTTCGCTTACTTATTCAAAAGATATAGTGAGTTATAATGAGTTCCTCCAAGTTCTCAAAACTCCGTTTAAGCAAGTGTTGCTTAGAAGGCTCCAAATCTCGTGAAAGATGATAAAAAAACCCCTTTTTTTCATATTTTTTTAAATGTTTTTAGATCATGAGATAAATTTGTAACTCCTCTTCCTAGCTCTCAGATAGAAAAATAGGCACTGTAAAAATGTTTCTTTAAATCTTATGGAAAAATAAGTTTTTGGTCTTGTGAAACTAATGCTTCAGCAAAAAAATTAGCAGTCTTTAGAAAGCAGGAGCCTGCAATTTATTCATTATTTATTTTCGATTTCACGATTGAAAAAGCGACTGATCAGATAAAAAAACTCCTTTGAATGCCCGAAAGTCCAGAAAAAAACTGTTCGAATCAGAGGTTCAAAAATCGGTCCCAGAGAAGTTAGTGAGTTCTGAAGAGCGGGTAAAAGTGAGAAAGCTGAGGAAAAACAGTGTGAAACTATTCTTGAGGAGGTTTTGAAGTTTTTCAACATGATACAGGGTGTTCTCAAACAAAAAAATGACCTCGTATAGTCCATTTTGAATGACGAGGCGTCAAAACGCAAAAGGCCTTTCGAAGAAAAAAAGTCACTACGCTCTTGCTATCGGGTTGATAGGGGGCTGATTAGGTTTTTTAGAAAGTCGAAGATTTGTTTTACTGGGGAAAAAAGTTTCTAATTGAAAATCGAAGTTTCTTTGAAGATATGATTTTTCGAATCTCTAGAGAAAAATCTTCATTTTCACGATTTTTGGTTTTTTGCTTTCAAATCCTGTTTGACTCAAGCAAGTAAGTTCTTTTTCTGAGAAAATGTTACTGCGTAGCTATTTAAAATCTGTGCGAAGTTTCAAGTCATTTGAGTCATTTTCAGAGAAGTTATGCTCGAATAACCACTTTGAAATACCTTTATGGCCAGTACTGTAAGTTGTTTTTTGATGTCGATTTAGTCTATTAAATGTGCAAGAGTTGGACATAATAAATGTTTTTAAAATCATTTGAATTTAGTTAACACGCGCACAACGCATAAAAACATCCCGAAAGTCTTTGATTTTTAACTCTTTTACAAGGTTTAACAGGTCTAAATTGGTTAGCGCTTCTAGGTCTTTTTTAAGATTAATAGTTTTCATTTAATAGTGAGTGAATTGTTCAAAATGTGGTGTTTTTACTTTTGTCTGGGCAAAAATAGTCTGACGCACCCTTTTGACCAGATGATCTAAAAATTGAGTTTTTTTGTCTAAAAAAATGGAAAAAGTCGTTAAAATAAAAAGTGGGCAGAATGATCTTTTAATTTTTGTTGATTTAGACAGTTTTTTGCTTGAAAAATGATAAAAAAAATGGCTAAAAGTGCTTAAAATTGAGAAATGGGCAAAAATGGTTTACTGCTTGATTCCAAAAAATGACTTATTTCAAAAATGGGTGTTTTGGCTTAATTAAGTATGGTTTTGGCTTAAAAAATGACTAAAAACAGCCAAAAAGTGGTTAAAATTGAAAGTGGGCAAAATGGTCACTTCTACGTCCAGCCCAAAAAGTGACGTTTTTCAAAAATGACTGATTTTCGATGAGCTTAGACACTTTTTTAATGAAAATAAGCGTTAAAATAGTCAAAAAGTGCAAAAAACGTCATTTGGGCAAAATGACCGTCCAGTGACAACTTTTTACATACTACTCATGGTGTTTTGAGCCATGTAAAATGCGTTATATAGTTTATGTACACTATTGAAGAAAAAATTTGGTTACTACAATTGAGAAAACTTTTATGAGGTCTCACAATAGAGTAGAAGGTTTGTTGAGGAAAAACGACTAACCACAGAGATTTTCCCTTCGCGTTCATAGTGCTCCAATACTTTGCGAGTGGATGGCCCGAGAAAGTAAGTGTAAACTCCGATTGTGTCTGCGCCGAATAGAAACTGCGCCTCGAACCATTCCAGAAGCCGCAGTGCAAAGTCCGTCTAGAATTTTTTTTTTCGCTGCTGTCCGGGGAAAAATATTTTTTAGAAAAACGGAACTGATCATCGAAATAGAAAAACTTTCAAAAAAACTGACCTGATAGTCCAGGCCTTTGAGACAGACAGCCACGGCTTTCTTGTGGGAGACTTGTGGTTTTGACACCACTGTCATAGCTGTGAGCTCATTTCGACACCGTCTTCTCGAAAGGGAAATAACGAGATTGGTGTACTCAGAAATCCTCTTTGGCACAGGACATGTTACCAGGTTTGGAACATAAAACGTATCTCTGAATGGAAATTGGAAATTGGCTAAAAACAAGACTTGCCTGGGATCCCATCCTCTCTGCCAAATTTCACGGACGTAACCTTTTTGTAACGGCATATCGGCCACTTTCCGTGAAAAATGTTGCAATATATTATTCTCTTTCCTTCGATTTTGTGAGCACTCATCACCAAAAACCTGTGATCGGAATTTCATTAAAAAAATATGAGTTTTGATAATACAAGAAGAGCCTTTTTCACGACTCACTTGAACTGAAGGATTTGAGGTAAAAAGAGAATTTTTCGCGATCGTCGAAATAAGCTGAATAGACTTCTAAGTTCGCCATACGGCTCCAGTTTCTCGGTTGAATAATTTCCGAAGGATATTTCAAAAAACATAAAAAATTTTCTTCAACTGGCTGCTCCTGCAAGCTCTTGTTTTGTCAACTGTTTCTGATGATCCATGAAAAAAATTAGCTCGGTCCAACCTTCTCGACAACAGGGCGAACATAGTTGGCGCCGCGTTGCTGTTCTTTTAAATAATTTACCACATCCAACGCGTCTTGAGTAGCATTGAAAAAATCATTTTCTTCTTCTTCGATACTCTACAAACAAAAACAAAAAATCGATAGCTGGCGCTCAGAACAATAGTTATATCATACTTCATCCAAGTAGATGTAGTTTTGGAGAAAAAGAATAAAGAAGATAATTGACGAGAAAATGAGCCACAGTCGACGTCTTCTGCGCATTGAAGGGAATTTGGGTGTCGAAGGTCGCTGAAGATGTTCCGCAATAACCTTGAACCCTCTCCCTTTTCTTCGCTCTCTCGGCACTCTTTTTGAATGGGCACCGTTCCAAGAGACTTTTTCACTTTCTTCCTCATTTAGCAGCTTTTTTAAATATTTGGGTGTTCCATAAGTCTTCGTGCACTTTTGACTTTTGAAAATTTCTTTTTTTTTTCATTTTAACGGAAACTCATGTGTCAGTGAGCTTCTGTTCCTTGATGGCCACAGTAGTGATCTAGCGATTGGAAATATTATTTATTCATCTCTCCCTATTACCCGCCAGTTTCGCTTTGAACAATGTGTCCAACTCGTGTTCAATATGGTTCTGCAAGATGAATTTTTTTTTCCATTAAAGAAGAGTTCAACTACTCTGGGGTAGTTATAGTTATATATAGAGGTGCCACCACTACACGTTGAAAAATTAAACTAGGCTGAATACGCGCAGCCCAAGGGCAGGAAAAAATTTAGAAATTTTTCATGAGTGACTTTTTCCTCACATGATACCGAAGATTGAGCTCCAGAAAGTTATCAATTGAGCTTCTTTTGAGAACCTGCAGTTGTGTAGTTCTAAGGCCTGTAATTCAAACGGGAACTACTCGCAATGAACTAGACCAGCTGACTAGGGAACTACTCGGACTCGGGTACGCGTTTCGAGTTGAAACTTTGGTGGCTTATAGACCCGGGTAAGAGTACTTGGAAACAAGAGAGATTATCTGCTAAACCCCATAGGCTTCTGAGAAAAAGCTTTTTGAAAATGAACAGTTTAGGCTTGAAAAATTATTAAATTTCTGTTTTTTTCTTCTTATTTTGGCTGGAAAAAAAGTTTTTTTAGAATGTATCATAGCCGGATCATTCAAGGCGATTGTATTGAAATAGAAAATAAGGTAAAAAAGCAGTACTCTGAAAAATTTCAGGCCTAATTTTCACATTTTCTACTAATTTTTTCTCAGTTCTCTATCGGGTTTCGCAGATATTCTCTATTGTTATGAAGTATTCTGACTTGGATCTATAAGCCACTAAAGTTTCAACTCGGAACCCGTACCCGAGTCCGAGTAGCTCCCTAGTGAGACAGACCAAAAGGATATTTTTTCCAAATTTTCTTCTCTCAGTGTGTAGGGGCGTCAGGCAATTTATTGAGAGGTCATGTTTTCTGTCTTGATGTAGTTGAGGGTCTCATGTCTTATTTTGTAAAACAATTTAATTTCAAAAATTTGCTTGGGTGCAAGAGGTCGAGGTTCAAATTCATTTATTCGGTCTTGGAGGTTCCAAGAGATAATCTAATGATCCGAATTGCCTAGCGTTGCGAATGTTCTCACAATTAAGTATATACAATTGGCCTGTCCAATGATCTTTGAATAGGAAAATATCGAATTTTGAACGAAGTGCACAAAGACTCATGGAACACCCTTAATATTTTGAATATAGAGAAATTGCAGGCTGAAAACTTTGGAGAGGTAATGTCGGCTGCAAGACGCAGAGCCTCTCTTGACCGTATCTCGTGTCTTTTGGACGTCGAGCTGAAGAGGATTTACGCCAGAGGCACTGCTGACGTTATGGCTGCCAATTGTCGCCAACTGGTGTGTTCTGTTTTTTTAACCTCATACCGTCAGGACGTCTCAAGGGGTGTAAATTGTGAAAACTTCAGAATTCATTGGAGTTTATCGAGTATCTCTATTACAAGATAAACGATGCAATCAACAGTGTGAACGGCGGTTAACACCGCGGCTTCCACCGATTGGCGCGCTTTCAGCACAAGCTCAAAGATAAATCTGTTGGTTTTCCAAATTTTCCATTGACGGAAAGAGAATCTCAGGGCCTTCCGATGACGATCCTGACGTTGCCGCTCACAGGAGAGGACAATTCCTTGCCTCCACCTTCCGCCTCGCAGTCCAGCCACTACGCAGCTTCCTCCCGCGGCAGCGACGAGTACGAAGATTACGACAAGGTCAAATTTTATCAAATCGCTTCATTTCAAACAAAATGAATGGTAAGAATCATAAAAAGTTTTATTTGGTCACCAGATTATAAATGGAAAGTTTTCCTTACAAGGGGTGTCATATTACTCTGTACTTCAGAAATTCTTGAAACGAATTCGATCATTTGTTTAAAAACTTCATCAAGTAAATAAGAAAGCCAATTTCACAGAAATATCTGCAATCCCTAGTGAAATAGGGTCAAGGATTCTTGTTCCAGATATCTGACGCAGGCTTCTACAGCTCGCCGTCACGTCAGACTATTGTACGACTTTGATCCTAAGCACGAAGATGAGATTCCAGTGAGTTCTTGAGAGACTTCCAGCTGGAAACACTCCGAGAATCGCAGATCCGAGCAGGACAGTGCGTCTTGGTCGAAGACCGTATTGGGGACGATTGGCTTGTCGGCCACGTCATCTCCGATCCGAACTTTTCTGAATCGCAAGTCGTTCCCGGTTCCACGCCGGCCACCGGCCGGTTCCCCACTACCTACGTTGCGTTTCGACGTTTTTTTTTTGCGACTGAAAAACATTTGGGACGACTAAGGAAACCAAATTTTAAAAAAAAGCAGCATCAGCGCGCATGATGCACTTTGTAAAAAAAAACCGTACGAGTAAACTCTTTCTAAATGGAGTTGAGAATCAAAAAAAGTTTATTTTGAACTTCATCACATTCCGATGATTTTTAAATGCCTTCTGTTTTTTTTTATTGAAACCTGCTTCGATCATTTTTTTTTTCAATTCAAGTAATGTTAAGAAGATTTTTTTTTCTGCCGGTGTGGTTTTCAACTAATTCGTTTTTTTTTCAATTTTAATCACAATATTTTTAAACATGCCGTGACTTTTTTCCATAGTCCCCATAAAACTGTCATTCGAATCATATCATGTCGTGTCAATAAATCTTGATATTTCTCTAAGATGACGTGAAAGAGAGCGAGCTTTGGTATAAACCTCGCATATCATTATCACGACGAGGATTCCGCCGCGCAGTGACCGCGTTTCAGGTCGTTCATCACCCTTTAGTGTTGCCTTCCGCTCTTTTTTCCCTTCCGACAGCGCCGGATGGAGAGCGAGCCAGATGGAATAGTAAGCATTAGATTCAATGATGTTCGATCAACTCACCTAAAACGCTTTTTATGACTTTTTAAAGAGGAACTTAACTTTGAGTAGAGCTTTTGAATTGATATGTATTTTCTCGGGTAAAGTCGGAATGATGGCCAATGGCCGTTAAAAGGGAAAGGCTCAAAAAAGGCCCCAGAAAGACAGCAAAAAAAAAACCCCCCTCTTTATCGAGCCTTCCATTCTTCCAGGGATTGTAAAAGCTCGAGAAATAGTGGAAAAAAGGAGAGGTAGCATAAATGGTGCATCAGAGCCGATGAAATGGCGCGTTTGTTTTTTTGCTATGCCTGAAGGTAGTAGCTAAAAATCAGGTTTAAATCGAGCCGACAAAATTTTAACGCGGTTTTTGAGACTGTTCAGGAAAAGTAAAGTTTTTTGCAGTTTTTGTCCGAACAAAAAAAATTGAATTGAAATTGAGGTACATGTATTTCCTGTCAGAATTTCTGAACTTCAAAAAAGCGAATCTTTTTCGCAGTTTCAATTGGCAACAATCTCAGTGTGAATTGGCCCCAAAGAAAGGATTTGAAAAGGAATATATAGCCCGTAGGGTCATTAGTTCCTTTTCGCGCGGTTCCGAACTCTCCGAAATCAAACAAAAAAAAGATGCAGGACGGATGTTTTTCGAAAGGTCATCTTGCTGTTTCATTTCAACTCAACTTGGTCAATCAATTTTTTTCGTTTTATTTCGAAAAATACCTCGATTCAAAGCAAAGCTGTTTCGAAGTTTTTTTGAATGAAGAATATTAATGACATTCTACGGTAATATTTATGAAGAAAAAAATCGTTCCGCTACTATATTTGTTCAAAAACTTCACTATGGCGTTTCTTTATATGCTTCAGGAAAGTAACTAGGCGAGCTGTTAAGAGTTTTATTTTTTTTGGTAATGAACCCATTTTCACTTCTGAACACAGGCCAACCTCCGTTAATATTCAAAAAAAGTCATTTTATGTTTTTTTCTCATTTTTGGAGTGAACTTTTTGGTTAAGTGACAACTTAATCTGTAATGAATAGCCGCAGACAGAAGAGCCGGAAAAAAAGTTGAGTCCAGTGGAAGTGGTGTGTCCGTTTCAAAGCGTTATCACTTGACGGTTTGCGTACCCCCCGTACTCCCCCAAAATCCGAAAATCGATCTGTTTTCAATGTTATCCTACATTATGAAGTGAGTTTTATGATCTGGCCAAGTTTCAGGCCGTTGGGATGAGTTTTAAGAAAAATAATTTTTTGGGTCACCGGAAATTGATATTTTGAAATTTTGAATTTTTTGGCTCAAAATCACTATCAACCTTGAGTTAACCTCAAATAAGGTATATGCTTCAAGTTTCCAGGCTTCCGGACGTTTTTCGACCAAGTTAGAGTGGTTCCCGACCGCGACGCATGGTGGCAAAATTTACGCTCCGCTTTCACTGTGTGTTAACACCGTGAGGATGAGTTGAAAAAAAAAAAATGAGGGTGAAATTTTCTCTAAATCAAATATGTTGTAGAGCACGATTTTTGGGATTTTTTGAAATAAAAATTGAATATCATCACTCGAGCCGTTTTCGAGATACGGTGGCTCAAAGAAGTACGGTAGGCCCCTTCGAAAATCTATATCTTGACAAAAATTCGACGAATAAGGTGCAATATAATTTTATTCAATTTTTAAAAATCTATCACTTCATTATTGCTTATTATTGCTCATATTAGAGAATTTTTCTCAAAAAAATCAAAACCAGTATATGACGTTGCGGTCCGGCGTTTTGTCTTGTTGCTATCGAAACCACAAAAAAAAAAATCTATCTACTGAGCAAAACATGAATTAGGCGAGTTTTCCATCTAAGACCCGAAAACTCCAGAAACCTGTGATTTTGGGTAAGATTACCGAATAACTTTTTTATCTCGTGTTTATTTGGATTGAAACTAGCGAAATCGAGATCAGCATGCATTCTTACATCTACTAGGTCATTTCTCAAAACGAAACAAGGAAAAAAAATCGAAATTTCAAAACATCACTTTCCGGTGACCCAAGAAATTATTTTTCTTAAAACTCATCCAAGCGGCTTGAAACTTGGCCAGATCATAAAACTCACTTCATAATGTAGGATAACATTGAAAACAGATCGATTTTTCGGATTTTGGGGAGTACGGGGGGTACGCAAACCGTCAAGTGATAACGCTTTGAAATACTCTAACTTGGTCAAAAAAACGTCCGGAAGGTTGGAAATTTGGAGGATATACCTTATTTAGAGTTAACTCAAGATTAATATTGATTTTGAGCCAAAAAAATTCAAAAATTTCAAAATATCAATTTCCGGTGACCCAAAAAAATTATTTTTTTCTTAAAAACTCATCCAAGCGGCTTGAAACTTGGCCAGCATTTGTAAGTGGATCTCTTGATTCGTGAGTTTCTTCTATTGTTTGATTTTTTTTAATTTTATTCGTTTTCGAAACTTTTCTTTTAAGATCAAGAGCTGAGAATTCAGCCCAAAGCTGAGAAAAAAAGAACTCAAAAAAATCTTTTGGTATTCCAACAGAAACAGAAACAGTATTGAAAAAAATCGTGTTTTTTTCAATAAAAAGATAGTTTTGAAACAGTGAAATATGTTTAAATTTTTATTTTTTTGAGCTTTTTTTAAAAATATTTTTTTCAAAAAAACCTTCTGAGCTTTCAAAACTCAAAAAAATTGCTAAAAAACCCAATTTTTTTCCAGATCCCCAACTTTCGTGGTCCCAATCAGCATCTGCGAAACGCCAGTCTGGCGGAAGATCTACGTCCAAGCGATGCCAAGCTTTATTCGACGATTTCTGTGCCGAAATCGCTCCTGGAGTACTGTAACCGTACCGAAACTCACTACCGACCAGCAAACTAATACTTATTTTCAGCATTTGGACAATGTTTGGAGATAAAAATTCGTTTTTTTGGAAGCTTGATGGTATAAATCTTGACCAAAATCCAGTTTGAGGGTTTTTTTTCGAGATATCTAATAGATGTTTCACAAGAAAAACCTGGAAATCGACTATTTTTTGAATTATATTCACTTTTCTACGATTCAAAACCTTGTAGTCGCATTTGGAATGGCTCAACGCCCGCGACTCTTTAGTATTTCTTTGCACCCGACTGAAAACTACTTGAGCTCGGCTTTTTTTTTTAGCATGAGCAAGAAAGAAGCCGGTCACGCGCAATTATAAGCTAACAGCTAAAATTAAAAGTTTAGAGTCTATTTTCGAAGAATTTGGCTTGGGGAAACTAGGATCTTTAAAGGAGCATGGATAAATTTAATAAAGGGTCTCGAAGCGAAGAGCCGTTTTTCGTGTTTTCCAGGTCATTCAAGGGTTTTTTTTTTCAGTTTTAATCAACCATAACCTTTTTCCAAGAAATATTAACCAAATTAATACTTCTTAAGCTGAAAATTCATTTTTTTTTCCAGAATAAATTGTCTTATGAAAATGAAAAAAACAGTGGTTTAGCTAGAGTCACAGCCCGTTTTTGGCGGGAAAATTGAAATGTGTAGTTAAGTGATCACTGAAGAGGGAAAATTCGTCCTATAGTGACCACTTGCGCCTTTCTAGTGTAAGTGTGTCTAACAGGGAGGTCATTTTACTTTTCGCTTGGGATTTTGCTGAAAATTGGCCAGGACACTCTTTGATGTGGCAGAAGATGATTCTGGTAATCTCAACCTGCAAAATATCCTAGTTTTCGAGAAATGAGGGCTCAAAGTCTAAAAAAAATCTCATTTTAGCGGATTTTTGAAATTCTCTTTGACTTGTTCTTTTTCAAAAACTAGAAATTTTTGCAGGTTGAGACTTTCAGAATCTTTATTCTTTACATCAAGAAGAGTTCTGGCCAATTTTCAGGAAAATCCCAACCCCATAGTGTAATGACCTCCGTGTGAGTTCTTGCGATTTTTTCCCTCAATTTTTTCCCAATTTTTTGGCCTATTCCAGAGAACAAACCTTATCTCGACATCAAAAAATTCCAACTCAGAAAAAAGAGGTGTTTGTTTTGTTTTTCTCTCCGAACCCAGACCAAGAAACCTGTTCGTCTCATGTTTGATAAGTGTGATAAGCCGCTCAAAATAGATAGAAAATAAAAATCTCAACATCACACATTCCTCATAAATAATTTCACGTGGACAACAATCCGAAAATGTGTGACTTTTTGTCCCAAAGTTCGCCAATGACGAACTTGTTTGTGAGAAAATTCCTGGTCTCTCGTAACGAAATCTTTGACCAATGTTTCGAATCGAAACTGGTTAAGAATGTCTGAGAGAAGACGGAAAATAGTAATATCGAGTATAGTCTTGTCGAAAATCCTTTTTGAAGTAAATTTTTTTAGGGTCTCGAAGCGAAGAGCCGTTTCCAGTGACATTATAGTGTCATAGAAGTTTCTCAGAGCTCAAAGAAATCTGAAATTGGCTTATAGAAAATTCGTGAAAAAATCCTCTTTGAGTTGCTTGAAGGAGCATAGGTAATTTATGTTTAAAGGAGCATAAGTAAAATCCTCAAGGGTCTCGAAGCGAAGAACAGTTTTCAGTGATATTTCAAGATCACTGAAGGCTTCTTAAAGCTCAAAGACATCCTATATTGGTCCTTGAATAGAAAATTTTTGAAAAATCCTCTTTGAGTTGTTTAAAGGAGCATAGGTAAAGATCTTAATGATATCGAAGCGAAAAGCCGTTTTCAGTGACATTATAGGGTTATTAAAGACTTATCAGAGCTCAAAGAGATCTAAAATTGGCTTATTGATAGAATTTTCGTGAAAAATCCTCTTTGAATGGTTTAAAGGAGCATAGGTGATATTAATAAAGGTCTCGAAGCGAAGAGCCGTTTTCAGGGATTTTTTAAGATCATAGAAGGCTTCTCAGAGCTCAAAAACATTCTAAAATTGGCTTTTTGATAGAAATTTCGTGAGAATCCTTTTTTAGTTTTTTTAAAGGAGCATAGGTACAGAAGTGCATAACTTCGTTTTGGGTCAAATGCACGAAAATCAAAGATTTTTCTGGGCTTGTTGGTTGTTTTAAAAATATTTAACTCCGATTTCCGTTTTGAGAGTCGAAATTATTGTCACAGTTACTAGACATAGTGTGAGCTTTTAGGCTAGTTACTGTGAGGCTCCGCCCCCTGGGTTACGGTAGGTCTTTTAGTGATAAATTCGAATTTTTTCCTTGACTACAAACCTTAAAAACATAGAGATCGGTCTTTTGAAGCTAAAAAATTTTTTTTTAATTGCAAAAAAAATCTCAATTTGGGTTTTTTTGGGCGGTTGGGACCCCAAATGTAGTAAAAAGCGGCAAAAATAGATATTTTTGTATTTTTTTCAATGAGAATCTGCCGAAGGGAACAAGCTTTTTCTCTTTTTTTTTTAATAAGCTGATTAAACTATAAATCCAAATATCATGAAAAAGCGGTACTTCTTGGTCTGCCTACGTCAGTGGGGAGCGTTCAGAAGGGACCGTCCGAAAAAGTGTCACTTTCGGAGGCTTGGCCAATCAATCACCTCGTTGGTATTTCGGTTTGTTTCCTTATTGCTTCTCGAAAAGGTAACAAACTTCTTTTGTTTGTTGTTTGTCTCCCAAAGTGTTCCCTTAGATAAGGTCTTGAAAAAACAATAAAGTTTGTGGAAAATTCGGACTTTAACCTACTGATAAGAGGATTAGGAATTTGCAGGCTGCTGGGAAATTTAATTTTTGATTATTTCAAGAAAATAAAAGTTTAAAAAATCACGGAAATCTACTACGAAATCTCTCGACATCGCAAAAGTGAATTCTCTTTTTTTAAATCCCTTTTTTTATTCAATAAATCAAAAAAAGCATAAACTTCAAATCTCCATAACTGGATCAAGAGAAAAAATCCTTGACACAAAATAAAAATTTAACGTAGAAAAAAAGACGCTACTTTTCAATGTTTCGTGTTTTTTTACGGGAACTTTTCAAAGTTTCTCAAAAAAATTCGAAAAATTAAAAAAACCTGTCCAAGTTCCCTCCGGTTGATTTCTCCGCAGAAGCATGTTTCAATTTTTCCTCAATGACCCTTAAAAATCGTTTTTGTTCGAATAGCCATGAAAAAAAGCAGTCACAAATTCCAACTGATATGGAAAAATATACCACGGCGTCAAAACGAAAAAAGCAAAAATCCTTAACGAAACACATAATATTTCATTTGAAGAAAAGTGAGGCATTCGATAAAAAAAAAGTACAGGCAGAAAAAGAAATAATTGAAAGAGACGAAAAAAAAATACTTCATCTAGTTCTGGCTGGGGTAAATATTTCAAAAAAGCTCTTTTTTTTAATTTCGCGCCAAGAAAAAAGCGTCGCGACCGCTTCGCACGTAATCTGCAAAAGGCGCACGTTTCTAGCTTTCAAAAGAAAATCATCTAGATCCTCTAATAGGTAGGAAATCAGTGGAAATACAAGAAAAGAGTAGCAAATCAGATTAAATCCAAGAAAAAATACGGTTTTTTTCAAATTTCGCGCCAAAAACGCGTCGCGACCGCTTTGCATGTAACCTGCAAATGCCGCACGCTCTGGAAAATCCAGTCTAAATCCCTCAAATTTGATAAAATGTCTCAAGCTAGCTGTGAATAAAGCGAATAAAAATCTATAGAAATATTAGGGTCATAAAAGGTGAGATAAAAAATGTGGGTTAGAACAAAAATCAGAGTTACTGCTCCGCAACGTCAGTCGGACCTCCGACGTCATCACAGGGATAGCATGCATCTCCAGAAGTCTGAAAATGTGGAAATTTTCTAAAAAAAAAAAGCGCCTAAAAAAAGGTAGCTGAAAATTTAAAAAAGCGAACTTTCTTTTTCTTTTTCTAACTCTACGCAATTATGAATCACTAGAAATGCCAAATTTTCGCAACATGTAAAAAAAAATTTTTTCCAAAAAAATTGACGTCATCATAGGAATGACATGCATCTCTAGAAGTCTGAAAACGTTTCAGATTATGAAAAATACTGGAAAATCTCTACAAAATGGTACTTAAATGGGACTAAAAAACTTTACCTTAATTCAGGCTCTACTTGATCATAAATTGTTTGAAATGATAGTTTTCAAGGTTTAGTTAGAATAAGAAAAAAATATAAAAATTCATTAATTTATAAATTTATAAATCTCCTTTTCATATTTTATTTTTTTATTCAAAAATTTGAAAAATTTAGTCTAAAAATGGACATCTCATTTTTTTGAAGAGCAGGAAAAAAATTTCCGAACCGTTCCGAAAAAAATTTTTTTCTGGATCAAATGCGCTCTACCGATAAAAAAACGGCTAAATCAACTTTTCATTGATTTTTCTTTCTTCTTTTTTTATCATTTTAGCCTTTGAACAAATTTTTTTTGCTGTTCTTATCTTTTTTTAAATTCATTTATAAAAAGAGAAAATCATAAAGTTTTCAAATGCAAATCAGTTGGTGAACTTCTGTAAGGTCGCAAAAAATTATAAAAACCGGAAATATTCAAAAAATCCTTTTAAACTTTTCTCAGTGACTTTTTCGCATTTTTCGCAAAACAGTCACACACCGAAATTGTGATTTCGATGTCGCCTGGGCTCCAAGGAACGAACGGCATAAGGATCAACTCTTCGGGTTCTTCCGGTACAAAACTCTCCATTTCCAGGCTGGGCTCCTGGAAGGATAACCTTATTCGAAAAAAATTCAGGGTTTCAGAGGATTTCAGTAACCTTTCACTAAAAATCAACATTGAAAAAAAGTAGAAAAAAATTGAGAGATAAGAATTATTTTTTTAAATAAAAATTTTTTTGATGTTTTTTTCTCGAATTGCTAGTTGTTCTGTCAGTAATGAAAGAAGTACTGAAACTTCCAAACTTCTTGGTCGCACAGGGAATGGCTCAAGGGGTCTGTTAGAGACTGCGGCTGATCACAATGTGACTTTCGCAAGACGGAAAATCTTTGAAAATGGCTTAAAATTTCAAGTTCAACCGCACGAGCCATTCCAAATGCGACCAAAAGATTCAAAGAGTTTGAAATGAACGTTTTATTGATAACTTGGTTTAAATCAAACTTTTGAAAGTCCAAAAATATATTTTTTTTTCTTCCTCCATTCAATCAAACTTCTGCACTCAGAAACTATCGAAAAAATTTTGAGCGAAAGAGTGTGCAAAAAGGAGAGGTTTAGACGTCTTTAACTAGCAGAAATTGACCTATTTTTTCCACATTTTTTGCTGAAAACTTACAAATTCAAAAGTCTGGAAATCTTGTTCATTTTCCTCCCCTTCAGGGAAGTCTATCTCCAACATCGGCTCAAGATTTGTTGAAAAATCCTCTTCCTGAAAAGTTCTAAAATCATCTGAAGTCCATTTTTCTTTTGGGTAGACTAGCGTTGCGTACGCGACGCGGTTTTCTGGCAGGGAAAACTCAAAAATCGAATAAAATCAAGCAGAAATGTAGGAAAAAATGAGTATTTTATAATTTTTATATTCTTATTCGTTCAACTAGATTTTTTCAAAACCGTAAAAAACTAAAAATTTTGAAAAAAACTATGAAAAAAAGAGGTAAAGCTTGCGTTTAAATTTGATTAACCCGCCAAAAGCTGGGAAAAAAACTCCAGTGACCCCTTAAAAAGTTCCTTAAGGACTACTCGGAGAGATCCCTTAAGTGGCCACTGAAACCACCTCTATACAAGCCACTATCTTGCGTCTAAGCGGCCACTAAAGTAGTTTTTATGGTCTAATAGTACCGATTGGACTCCTAAAAAAATCACGGAACTTTATTCACTTCAGTGGCCCCTCAAAACCCTAAAGTGGTCCTCAAGAACCCTAAACGTGGCTACTTAGAAACTCTCAGAACCCTAAAGCGGATACTTAAAAACTCTCAAAACACTGAAGTGGCTACTTATAAACCCTCAAAACCCTAAAATGGCTACTTAGAAACTCTCAAAACACTGAAGTGGCTACTTAGAAACTCTCAAAACACTGAAGTGGCTATTTATAAACCCTCAAAACCCTAAAATGGCTACTTAGAAACTCTCAAAACACTGAAGTGGCTACTTAGAAACTCTCAAAACACTGAAGTGGCTACTTATAAACCCTCAAAACCCTAAAGTGGCTACTTAGAAATCCTCATAACCCTAAAGTGGCTACTTAGAAACCATTAAAATCCTAAATTGGCTACTTAGAAACCATTAAACCCTAAAGGGGCTATTTAGAAACCCTCAAAACCCTAAAGGGGCTATTTAGAAACCCTCAAAACCCTAAAGGGGCTATTTAGAAACCCTCAAAACCTTAAGTGACTACTTAGAAACTCTCAAAACCCTAAAATGGCTTCTAAAAATTTCTCCAAAGGAGCCGCGCCGCACACGCAACGCCTCACCCTTTTCATGAAGAGATTACGGAACTTTAGTCACTTCAGTGGCCCCACAAACCCCTAAAGTGGCTATTTAGAAACCCTCAAAACCCTCAAGGGACAATTTAGAAACCCTCAAAAACCTAAAGTGACTACTTAGAAACCCTCAAAACCCTAAAAGGGGCTATTTAGAAACCCTCAAAACCTTAAGTGACTACTTAGAAACTCTCAAAACCCTAAAGTGGCTTCTAAAATTTTCTCCAAAGAAGCCGCGCCGCACACGCAACGCGTCACCCTTGCCTTTCAATTCGGTAAAACTGACTATATAATATGAAGAAGAATGGAAATCCGGTTCATTTTCATCAATTTCCGCCTCAATTCCATCTTCCGACTCCTCTTTGGGCAGGGAAATCAGTGGTCCAGAAGGCTCGGATACCGGATTTCTTAAAGATTCAGGGTGATAAATCTCAAAAAGGTCTTGGAAAAGTCATAAAGCCGATGATCAAACTCTTAGAAATCTTAGGGGAAAATTATAAAATTCAAAAAAAAAAATAAATTTTAAAGGCAGAGGGGCAGTAAAAAATGGGGTTTCAGGTCAAAGCAGTATCTTATATAGTTTTTTTCATTGCAAATTGAATGGTGTACTCAAAAAAATTACAGATGTGACAACTTTAGAAGAAAAATGCGATTTTACTTTCCCGCCTTTAACTTTGAAAAAAGCTTTGGATCGGTATGCAGACAACTGATTACAGTAGCCGTGCACGCGATGTTGCGGACGTCTCATTAGACTCGCATTTTGTGAGAAATAACTGGATATCTGCTTCAAATAAAGGGTTTCTTTTCTGAAAAAAACATTTAGTCAAACAAAAAACACACACCGATAATAAAGAGAACACAAAATATCGCAATCCCAATCGAAACCTGTGTAAAATCATCATTTTTCACCAAAAACGCTTTTTTGCGATCAAAGTTTGCAAATTATACATGAATAGAAAGCTTTTGTGACGAAAAAAACTTTGGTGACAACAGAAAAAATTGAAAACTGAAAGAAACGAAGAAAAAAGCGAAAATCCGGAAATTGGCGAAGCCTGTTGTCCATAGAGCAACTTTACTGCAAAGTGCTCTTTTTGCGGGAACTCAAACTTCCCTCTCTCCGACTTTGAATTATTTTTTCTCCAAAACTAGGAGGTTTGGTACATTTCCAAGTTCACCGTTCGATTCGCAATGAAAAGCTCTACAAAGTACTGATTTGAACTGAAACACCGTTTTTTACTGCCCCTATGCCTTTAAGCTGGATGATCAAAAAACAAAGCTCTAACTTCAAATTAAACTATTTTTTTTATTTTTTTCAATATTTTTTTCCTTTAGTTGAGATTCGAAGTTTAACAAAAAGATCACATAAATGGCTTCAAAAACTTCAATATTTTTTTTAAAAAGTTCCAAAAAAAGACAAGCAAAAAAATAAGTTAACGGCTCAGGTGCCGGAATTCTAAAAGACACAGGCTAATAAATTTCGGAAAAAAATCATGAAATCGTGGGGCAAACAAGAGAATTTTGGAGATAAACAGTCAGAAAACGAAGGTCTTTCGTTGTATTGAACTTTTTTTAAATCCCATGTTTTTTTCGGTTGAGATTTTAAGGTTAAATTCACAGTTTTTTTGAACAAAAAAATACTGATGGATCGCTTAAAAAAAAATTCCGAATCTTAGAGAAAAAGATTAAAAAAAAAGTTTTTTTGACCACATTTTTTTCGTTTCATATATTTTCATAAACCAATTTTCCTCTGGAATGAAAATTCTCGAAAAAACCCAATTTATGGAATTGGAGAATATGAATTGCAAGATATGTTAAATTTAAAATATTCAAATATCCAAAAATTCAATTTCTCTTGACTTTAAAGCCGATTTATCCCTTTTACATGTATGAATTTATTTAACCAACCAAAATGTCTACTAGCAAAAAAAAAAAAATTAAACGCATGCCTATAAGACAGAAAATCGTCCCAATTTCTGTTCGATCTGTTCAGAACGGGGAAACCCAAGAAATTCCTGTGGTTCTTCTCGTCTCCATCCGGGGCGTTGAACAGCGAAAATGAAGAAAAGAACTTTTTCTTGTCAACTTCCGCGTTTTCCAATTGCATATTTTCCACCTCCGGATCGTCCGTCTCATTTTCTTCCTAGTGGGAAAAATATATTAGTCGTTCTTTCGAAGCTTAAAAATCTCATGGGTAGACCAGGTGATCTAAGATGGGATCTGAGCGGGTGAACCCGTATTGCGCCCGTATACGCCCTATTTGTAGAACTTTTGGCATTATTAAGCCAATGTAGCCCATTTGGGTTCAGATTTTTAAAAATAAACACATCCGGGCCACCTATTTCCTCCCGTTTTTCTCCCGTTTTAGTCCAACTGAGGTTCAGATAGCCCTAAAAAGGGTCTGAGTAGGTATACGGTCTTTTTTTTGTGTTTTGAAGCTTGAAATGCATAATTCAAATTTTTTTTTTTTGAAGATTATTCAAAGCTGGCAATGAAATAGATACACTAGGAGAACGAAGTTTTCTAAACAAAGCTAGAAAAAAAAAACCAAAAACCAATTTTCTTTTTTCTCATTACCTCAGGACTCTGGCACGGATTCCATACGCGTCTGTTCTTTACCATTTTCTCATCTTTTTCCTTCAAAACTTCCTAAAAAATGAAATTCATCCTTTTTGTGGGAAGGAAAAATCACCGCCTCCAGCTTTCTCTTCCGTTCTGTTGTCTCCTCGACTTCCTTCTCCGATTCATTCTTTCGTCTTTCCTTTAAGGTCAAAAATAAAGAGAATATTTTTAACAGGCTTTTCAGAATATCGGGAAATCTCATTTTATGATAATGCGGCCTTTTCGGTCAAGAATCGTCTTTTAAAAAAAAGTCACGGGGTCAAAAAATTTTCAAGACAGATGGGTGGGAACCGAATCTTCCCGGAGACCAGTTTTTGATCCTTTGAAGACATCTCTCACAATTTTTTCAAGCTCTATCAATTCCAAGTTTGGGCTACTCGGCGCACCGTCCCGCCCACCAGGCGCACCCTCTCGTCTGCTACATTTCAAAATGCGATTTTCGTTCTTTTTTTTTCAATATTTTTCATCAAAAATGGCCAGAATCTAAAATGTGACCAATTTTTCGGTACTTCAAAGAATAGTTGTAAAGCTCATAAGAACAAAAAAACTTTCTAAACTTCGATTCTACTGGCTTCAAAACTTCGCACATATCGACTTTTTAACGAATAAAATCAAACCGCCTTGATTTTCGACGTTCAGAAGTTGAAAAAAAAAATGTGTTATTGGGAATTTGGTTTCGATACATTTAATCGCTCATTCACCGCTAGGTTGTGGTTTTCGTTTTCCCTGGAGCTTCAGGACCCTTCCCTCCAAGGCACGCGGCTTTTGTTTGTGCATGCGCCTTTATAGTCCTTCGCGCCTTGAAAATGCGGTACTTCTCTGCGCCCTCCTCTTCTCTCGTCGACTCTCTCTTGTTGACGCGCTTTTTTCGCGTTTCCATGGCCTCGCCGGTGAGGGAACAGAGAGACGCAGAAATGCAAAAACTGTCAAGTCGCGGTGAATGGACTATAATAAATTAGGGCAAACGAAAGGCACATGCAAAGAAATAAGCCGCGCGCTTCGTAGGGATGGGTTCTGTAGCTCGGAGGAAGAAAAATAGGATATTTTCAATACAGTTGTATCACAGGCGGTTCAAAAAAAACTCAAACAAGAAGTTGGATAGATTTCTCGGGACTTCTCTAGTCCTTTCGCCGCAATTAGACAGTTCTCCCATTTCTGCGTCTCCCCTGGTCAGAGAAACATGAAAATAGCGCGTCAACAAGAGAGGGTCGCCGAGAGACGAGGAGGGCGCAGAGAATGGTTGTAGAGAATGGACTATAAACCTTTCTGATGGAAAAAAAGGTGATAATAGTGGTCTTAGGGTCTCGAGAAATAACTCTTTCAAAACCGAAATTCCAAACCCATGAGAAAACCTTGGCAAACTGTTTCCTCCTGTGGTTCAGGGCCTTCCCAAAGCACTTCAGAAGTGAGGCCGGTTGGCTGATTCCCTTGGCCACTTCCACCTAAACTCAGAAATCCCAGAAAATAAATTGTTTTGAACCTGCGGCCGTCCTTGGAGATATTCGTAAAGAGCGTCGTACTCTTCGAGTTCCATCTTGGTTATTCTTCGAATTTCCTCTTAATATCAAGAAAATCTTACATTTTTCTTCTTGTTTTTTTCAAAAACTTGATACAAATTCGAACGGAGGCTCTTCCCCAACCTCCATCTTGTGCGCCTTCAAAGGCTTATCCGCCACCAAGTCGTAGGCCTGGCAAACATTTTTTTTTTATTTTTTCTTTTTTATGCGAATCTCAGTTGAAGGGGAACTTATTTGAAAGCAATCTGATCATACATAGTCTCGACCCCCCCCAGCCTTTTTTTCCGCACTTTTCTGGGGAGTAGGTCGCAGTTTGAGGGGAGGGGGAGTGGGATAATACAGCCGACGTATGAATATGCTCTTTCAATGAATTATTACCACCCTTTTTTTTTTTTTTTAAAGCACTCCGGAAAAATTAGAGTGTAAATGAACTGAAATGATTCAAATTCCACTTTGACTGGACGAATTTCCAACTTTTTTCGGCTCTCGAGCCATTTACAGGCCATGAATATACAGTTTCTCCGTGCCTAAGTTCTCTATAAAAATAAAAATAAAAAAAGGTCAAAGAAAAAAATGATTCTATAAGCTTGTGAAGGTGGCAAATCAATAATTCTTTTTAAAAAAATAAGTGCACCATTTTTTTCTTTCCAAGATCAATTCATTTTTTTCTCAAATTATTCAAATGTTTTGGTCGAAATTTCGAACAATCACATGGCTTTCAGAAAAAAATCGCAATAGTCAAGTTGAAAGGAAAGATTTGATCTCAAAAAAATTTTTTGAATTAAAAAAATCTTCTCTTTTTTTTAAACGATTGCGAAATGTCGAACCTCATGAAGTTTGAAAAAAAGTTATTTTTCCTCTCAAAAGTTCTTTCTCAGGTGTTTAAAAGCGCAAAAATTTCTTATTAAAATTCTTCTATGGCCCTTTTTAAAAAACTTATGAGCGGAAATGTTAAAAATTTTTTTATTTTTTTCTAGATTTCATTCCGACTTTTTCCGGTTTTCAAGCCATTTACGGACCATGAATTTTCAGTTTATGCTCTCTTGAATCCTTTAGAAACGTTGAAAAAAACACGAAAAAAACCCGAGAAAAAGTTGAACCTACTTCGCTTCGATAAAACACGAGAGGACTGCTCGACGCGAACTGTGCCTCGCGTTTCTTGGGGACATTTTCTTTCTCTGAACTATTTTCTTGAAGGTCCGTCAAAGAAAAAAGTAATTTTGAAATAATAATGCTACTTTGTATCGCTTCTTTGTTTTTTTGTTTTTCCAACGATATACTTGAAAAATTTACAAAAAGCCCTCATTTTTTTAAAAGAAAAAAATGACAAAACATGAGAAACGAAAAAAAACTTTAAATCCTCTTAAAATTGCATTTTTACAGCTTATTCTCTTTTAGTTTTTCTTCATTTCCGATTTTATTTCTTTTTTTTCAATTGTTCTCAAAAAATCTCTTTGACACTGATATTTTGCTGCACTGACGCAAAATCGAAATTGAGTTTATCTCTTAAAAAACGAACTTTTGGCTGATCTCGAGTAAAAAATCGCTGGAGAACTATATGGATTCTATTATTTAAAAAAAGGCTTTTAAATTTTTCGGAGAAAAAAACTTGAATGTCTCTGAAATATAGCATGAATCCCTTTTTTTGAAATTGCTTCAACGAAAAATTACCTCTCTGAAATCAAGAAAAAGACTCTAAACTCTTAAAAAAATCATCTTTTTGGCTTATGAAAAAATTGCAACTAGAGTAAAAAAATGATTTTCTTCATTTTATTCGTTCGCATCTTGGCTAGGAGTCGAACCCGCGTGCCTTTACTCAAACGCGACTTTTCTACCAACTGAGCCATGCTTTTCGAGTCAAAACTGACCATTTTCCGGCTCTTTTTCGTCCGTGTCTCCGAAGTTTGCGAGTGTAATCTAAAATGGGAGAAATTCAAAAACAAAGTTCAATTTTCGCAAATTTCAACTTGAATCTTAACGTTTACTTTAGAAGCTGGAAAAAAGGTTTTCTGAGTAAAATCGAACAAAATTGAAAGCTATCGGCTTTTCCTATTCATTTTGCCTTTTTTTGAATTTTGAAATGTTTATTTCTGCTTTAAAGGAACATAGCTTGATTCAATAAAGGTCTCGAGGCTATGAGCCTTTAAAGATTTTCTTGAGCAACCTATAAATCAAATAAAAAGGCGAAAAACCTCAAGTCGGTGGCCTTTCGCCTTGAGCCATCTCTCGCCAACGTACGTCCGCCGGAAAAAAAAACTTTATTCAATTTTTCATTCGAAAAAAAGTTTTGTCCAGATTCATTCTTACTTGTCCTCGATTTTCAGGGGTCGGAGATACTCCCGTCTCGTCCATTTCTTGACGAGATCCGCCACTACGTAGAACATTAGTTGGTGGGTATAGGGCATTCGGAAGCCGCTTTGGAGCTGTTGAAAAATCAATCATGAATTGAAATATTCGTTTGAAGAGAGATCAATTTTGATCTCTCGTTTTGACTCTTCACAGGAGTTTTCACAGGAATCTTCATTCCCTCGAAATGGTCACTCTCATTTCGAGGCTTCCACCCCAGCACGGTCTCCGGGCTCCAGCTACACCATCCACTACATTCTGAGCTCGTCAAGGCGCAACTAGATGGACTACGCGCAGAAGAACGAGGCGAAGGACCGTAAGACCATGCTTTCAACTCTTTCGACTACACGTTTGGACTTCTAGCTCGCCAAAGGCGGTTGTTCGTTATAGCTTCAAAAGTTCTTGTTCACCACCTAGTCGATTACATCTGACTGAAAAAAACAAAATAAACGATTTGATTAATTTGAGGATAAATTTTTGAATTCTAACATCTTTTTGTGAGGTACACATTCAGAAAGTCGACGAAAAACTCTACATTCTGGTATTTCTCTAGACTGCCGCCATGAGCTTCAAAATAATTTCTTATTTAAGCTGTCCAAGTTCCTCTCAACCAAACCCTCTTTCGCAGCCTTCCTTTATAGAGCTTTAAATTTTGGTAAATTTATGAAAAAAAAGCGCTATCCCAAGCTTTTGAAGCTTCACAGCTCGGAATCAAGACCTACCAAATTTCTTAAAGTTTTCCAGTCATCGCTCTTCCTGAATCAAAATAACAAATTTTCACAACACTCTGTAATTATCCTCTTCGCTTTTATCGATTATTTATCCTTTTTTCAAGGCGTTGGAGTCTACTTTTCAGCCGAAAAACCTTAAGTCTCTGCTCCGACTTCTGTACTTCGAGTTGCATCTGGCAAGACAGCGTGTGGACGAAGTTTCCGCTCAGAACGATGCTGTCGACCGGGGTGTAGACCGCATGAATGTACCCTAGATACAACCTTTTTCTACAGAAAATTGATTTTCAAGCTTTTTTTTTTGACTAAATTTCGATTAGCTTGGAACAAAAAACCCCTACAGTAGTTATTCGAACGTTTCTGAGAAAAACCTTGCTACTGTATCCTTTAACACGCATTCTCCCAGAAAATCGAACAAATGCGAAAAAGTTTGGTACAAAAATTTCATCTTTGTTCCTGAGAGCTCTTCTTGCTATCATAGATAGTGAACAACCTCTTGAACATTTAGAACCAAGTTTTATAAGGCTCCGCCCACTTTTAGGCTTACTGTAGAAAAAACACCGTAAAAACCAAACTTTTTTCCTAGTGGAGCAAATTGGTCCAAACCAATTTTAAAACAAAATATGTTCTCTTTTGACCATTTATAGCTATAGAACTGACCCGGAAAAAATTTTCTTTCAGAAGAAAAAAATTCAAGTTTTTTGAAAAATGACGTTTTTTTCGCAGTCTTTGAGTCATAACTAGTACTAGAACCCCCGAATGCCTGGATTTTTTTATTTTTTTCAATCGACGCGTTAGGGTCTTGTGAGTAGAGGAAAAATGCCTAGAAACTCTGAATCCGGGTGATCCAGTTGACCTCCATCTCGAAGAACGCGGCCAACTTGAAAATCGCAAAACTTTGAAAATTTCTATTTCTTGTGAAATCCGGATTCCGTCTTGTTTCTTATTTTCGTTCAACATAACACAGCTTGCTGCAAAATTACAGCTCAAAAGTAGCGAGCTGCAAACCTTTGAAAAAAAATTTCTGACGTTTTTCTGATTTTTCCTTTTTTCGGCATTTTCAAACTTTTCGCTCTAACTAGTACTAGAGCCCCCGAATGCCTGGATTTTTATTTTTTCAATCGACGCGTTAGGGTCTCGTGAGTAGAGAAAAAATGTCTAGAATCTCTGAATCCGGGTGATCCAGTTGACCTCCATCTCGAAGAACGCGGCCAACTTGAAAATGACTAAATTTTTAAAAATCAGTTACTTTCTTGGGAGCAGGATTTTCCCTCACTTCAATTTGCTAATCAGGCACAATCCACTCAACACAAAATTGGAACAAAAAGTTATGACTCTCAAGCACAACGAAAAATTTTTTTTTTCCAATTTTTCACTTTCTCGGAAAAAACTTTTTGTCCAAAATAATTTGATCAGCGTTTCAGTCCAGTTGATAATTCAGAAAGAATGAAATAAAAAAACTTACGCCACAGGAAGAGAAGCAAGTCTCCTCTAGATTCTTGCAAAAAAAAAAATACAGAAAGCGATATATTGATCATGCCTATGGGCCGAGAGAAAATGTTTGTCGAAAGTCTTGGTAAATCGAGTGAAATGAGAAGCCATCTTCTTTTGGACAAAAATTTTTGGTCTATTTCCCCGATGTCGATGAATTCCTCCTAGAAAAACTTGCAAAAACGAATTTCTTCAAAAAGTTTCGAACCCCGGTCATAGACACCACAGTGCAAGGACGCTAGCCACTGCACCACGCTGCCAACTGTGGTGCAGGGCTCGTACGCGAGGGACATTCCCTCTTGCGTTGCAGCTCTTATTCAGCGTGCAAACTTTGAAGCTTCATAACTCAAAAACGAGATCTATTGCGAGAAATTTTATTCGTGTTCTGGAAAGAGGAAGTCTCATAGTACCTTTCAGCAAAGTTTCAACACAAGTTCAACCGGCCACCAAAAAAACACTCCCCTTGTCAGTATTTTTTAAAATTTTTTTGATTCTTTTCGGTTGAAATAGTTTTGTCTTTTTTTCTGTATGAGAAATTTTGTTCAACCTCGAAAATAGGAGAACTTGAACCTTTTTTTCCGTGCGAAATCCAAAAAAAATGATTCATCTTAAAAAGCTCAAAAAAAAAGTCAAACAATTGGTATCGATAAACAAGATTCTTACTTTTCACAAAATAGTAGTCACTATTTTTCGTAAGTAGTGTCTTTACGTAAGTTGGAACTTTCTTTTTAGGCATAATACCAGGAAGTTCCAGATTATCCGACAGACACGGGTATTGCTGGGGCAGCCTCCCGTCGAAAAACTTTAAAAAAATTGTGACAAAAAAATAAAAAAATGAGCTAAAAAAATAAAAAAATTGACGCTAGCAATGGGTGGAAACTACACTGAAAACCCTCCGGATGATGAGAACTACTGGTTAGGAAGCAAAAAAACGGTTTGGAAAATTTTTAAAATTTTGCTCGATTTCGAGGTCGACCGCTTTGGTTGCTTGGAGGTCAACTGGATCACCCGGAAACAGAGCCTGGGAATATTTTTAAAGAACTTGGGAAGATGTAACGGATCAGTACAACGAAAAAAACTCTAAGCATTCTTGGTATCCTAATCCAGTAGAGCTCAATAATTGGAAAGGACAGAAAAAAATGAATCCGAGAAAGTGGAAAAATTGGAAAAAATTTTTTTCGTTGTGCTTGAGAGTCATAACTTTTTGTTCCAATTTTGTGTTGAGTGGATTGTGCCTGATTAGCAAATTGAAGTGAGGGAAAATCCTGCTCCCAAGAAAGTAACTGATTTTTTTAAAAAAATTTAGTCATTTTCAAGTTGGCCGCGTTCTTCGAGATGGAGGTCAACTGGATCACCCGGATTCAGAGATTCTAGACATTTTTTTCTCTACTCACGAGACCCTAACGCGTCGATTGAAAAAAATAAAAAAATCCAGGCATTCGGGGGCTCTAGTACTAGTTAGAGCGAAAAGTTTGAAAATGCCGAAAAAAGGAAAAATCAGAAAAACGTCAGAAATTTTTTTTCAAAGGTTTGCAGCTCGCTACTTTTGAGCTGTAATTTTGCAGCAAGCTGTGTTATGTTGAACGAAAATAAGAAACAAGACGGAATCCGGATTTCACAAGAAATAGAAATTTTCAAAGTTTTGCGATTTTCAAGTTGGCCGCGTTCTTCGAGATGGAGGTCAACTGGATCACCCGGATTCAGAGTTTCTAGGCATTTTTCCTCTACTCACAAGACCCTAACGCGTCGATTGAAAAAATAAAAATCCAGGCATTCGGGGGTTCTAGTACTAGTTATGACTCAAAGACTGCGAAAAAACGTCATTTTTTTCAAAAAAACTTGAATTTTTCTTCTGAAAGAAAAATTTTTTTCCGGGTCAGTTCTATAGCTATAAATGGTCAAAAGAGAACATATTTTGTTTTAAAATTGGTTTGGACCAATTTGCTCCACTAGGAAAAAAGTTTGGTTTTTACGGTGTTTTTTCTACAGTAAGCCTAAAAGTGGGCGGAGCCTTATAAAACTTGGTTCTAAATGTTCAAGAGGTTGTTCACTATCTATGATAGCAAGAAGAGCTCTCAGGAACAAAGATGAAATTTTTGTATCAA